AAAATAATGTTTTTTATTAATATTAAGTATATTATATCTTAGCAGTCGTGTAGGTAAGACTTTTTAAATGTTTATCGGTTATATATTTCTATATAAATTATAAGAAACAGAAAGCATTTCTCACTTTAAACGTAGATACTTATTTGTTACAAAATCGCTATTTTATTAGTAACAACTTACACTTTAATGTAATATAAAATGTGTATTTATTTTGTTTTATTTAGGAATAGAAAAATAATGAAAAACCGAATATGAATTATTAAATTGCAACTTGGGCAGTTAACTAATGTTTTTTAATTAATAATTATGTATGATTACCTTGTATTTTTATCTATAAAACCAAATATCAGACTTTATAAGTTCTTAATATGTGTCAAATAAAGATAATTAAATATAATTAATATGTTTATTTTATTTATACACCCTTGGTATAGTACAAGAAATACTTCACACTCAAGAGAGATATAGAGAGAAATATTATAAAACGATAATATCGGAAAGCTGGGAAAAACTCAAAAATAACAACACAGCAACAGAATCATTGGGAGAGAGAAAAGTAACAACTACTAACATATCAAAAAAGAAAACGCTATGGTTTAGAGAGGAAGTGAACAAAAGAAGAAAGCCTTTTTATAATACTTTAGTTAGACAATAAAAAGGAACACAACTTATACGGAACGTTAAAAACGAAACCCATTCAGAAGAAAACATGGGCAGACTACTTTCGATCCTATTTGCTATATGTGACGATAGTGAACCCACAACACCAAAGGTGAAGGCAAAAGAAGAAATAAATATTTAGGAGGAAAAGGTAAAGGAAGATAAAAAAATAGAAAATCGTCAGGAGAGGACAAAATACCAAACGAACCCATAAAGTACGTAGGACTAGATCTACCCAAACAACTAAACTAATACAAAAAATATTAGAACAAAACTGAATTTCTCAAGAATGGAGATCAAGCATCCTAATAACTCTCTTCAAAAAGGGAGACAAATCGTAACATTACAGAGGAATTAATTTATTAAACACAACACTAAAATTAACAACCAAAGTGATAACAAATAAACTGAATGAAATTATACCACTAACAGAAAAACAACAAGGTCAAATAAGAGTTTTAGGTCGGAAAGATCATGTACCGACACTAGATTTTATAATGAAGCCAGTGCAAGAGAAATCATTAAATACAGCAAACCGGCATAATTTATGTTTGGTGTACCTTAAGAAGGCATTTGACTGGGTCAAATTAAAGGACGTTATCCACTTATTATACGCAAGAGAGATACCTCTAGGAATAATCAAAAATATCGACCAAAACAACACAATAAAAGTAGAAGAAGGACTAACTGTCCCTATTGAAGCTGGCAATGGAATAAGATACGAATATTCCCTAAGTCCTCTATTATTCTAAATGGTATTCTAAAAAGCTGCCAAATGAGAGAAAAACAACTTAAAATAATCTGCTATGCAGACGACGCAATACTACTCTCCAATATCTAAAGATGATGTATAACATATTCTGCATCAATTTAATATAAACGCCAGAAAATTTAACAAGGGTTATAACAAGCAAATGTACTAATCGAAGTCAAGAATATTTTTGTAAAAAATCAGCTTTATTGATTTTCATAGTATTTGCTTATGGAAAACAAATGTCTGTATTAAGCGTCTATATTCTTTGATTTAGCATTGACGGTTACATGTCATTTCCTTAAAAAAAAACTCACCATAATTTGTCAATGCTGCGAACATGGATTACGTTTTTGAATTTTGCTCGTTTTGAAACACGCACAGCGTTGATTGCTTTTTCGTTTCGTCACCAGTCACGATATTCCATATTAAACTTGAGTTGACTCGATTGAATCGTTTGAGTGTGATGGACTGCATATCTTTCTCAGTGCCAAATGGCCATTGCAAAATTTTCGAAAATCATATTTATGAACTCGTGTAACTTCAGCTAGCGAAACTTGAGTACAGCTGTTTTTAAAGAACACATGTTGCATATTTAACATTATTTTAAACAAAGAGCAAAATCGGTATCACTTTTTGTGTTGAACTGGTAGCATTCATTAATAGCAACTTTTAAATCGTTATGAGGTAGGACAAGCTATCATGAGTGATTTACCTAGGAGATTTAAAAAGGTCAGACAAACCACGTTGTCATCTTTTGTGGCTGTTAACGCAGAGGTACCTAACTACTTTATTTTATTCATACCAAGAACGTTTCATATTTTTTAAAAATCTAGCGAATGATACCCAACACGACCCCAAGGGTTGGGATTGAAAGCCCCAATTTTATTGCAGATTTGGATTCCTTATACAAAAATAAGTTATTTTTTATTCGGGACATTTTTTTGGAATTTGTTGATAGATAGCGATATAATCGATACAAAATAAGATTTTTTATATTTATATACCCAAGGAAAAATATCTCAAGAAATACACTTCCAAATAAAAAACTGGAAAATCGAGTGACAAAAAACATGATCCAGGGGCTGTGGAGCAGGTAAATTCGAAATCTTAAATAGGAAACCCTTATACCCCAATAAAACGGTGTGATTTTCACATTTAAGATTTCAAAGTTGCTCTCCTCCCCGCTCTAGGCAGTGTGGCTGGAGGGTTATGTTTGATGTAATTCAACAGATTTTTGAAAAATATTGAACACCTGTTTTTCAGTTTTTCGATCCAATGTTCATTTTGCGAAATATTCGACCGTCCCGCTTATTTTGGCACACGCGGTTTGTGTTAAAATGTGAAACAAAGTACCAGAGATATTAAACCATTTTTTGCAAATTGCAGACTCTACTCTACAGACTCTGAAATATGTATTATTTTTGGCGGGAATAAGATTGTTTCATAGAACACAAATATTATAAAGGTAATAATATTTGTGTAATAAGTTCACTGCAGAGATATGTTCTCTTCATACATATCTCTGGTTCACTGTATCAAAGTCAATGTCAACCGTCAGTTTTCTCCAGTTTAAAAACCACCCAGAGATACCTATGTAAGTACATATCTCTGAAACCACCAAACAGAAAAAAACTTTAAAAAAATTTTCATTTCTTAAATTACAACTATTTGTAAATGTAAATCAGTACCATTTATTTATATATGGACCAAGCATTTCTTTACTTTTATTAAATTCAAAGCAACAGGTTATTTGCGATTTTTAAGGAACTTAAGACAGTTTTACATTATGCTACTTTCATGCTAGGCAAGAGCTATGCATGGAACTGCGCATGCCTACGGGCTATTAGACAAAAAATTAGAACATGTTTTATTTTTCATGCTATTTTCTTGCAATTTATCGTTAAAATTCATGTTGCCAACATAACAATTTATAATAGATTACAGAATAAAACATAACCTTATCTCTATCCAGGAGCTTAAGGAAAGTGGACTCGTTCATTCGAAGAAAGTTTTTAAAACTTTGAAGGTCTCTAGCATCCTAGAACTCTTGGGGTAACTTCAAATTTCCCAGTCCTGCATTCAACCTAAGTTTGACCCAGCATTTTCTAGGTTTTCTTTTTTTATTATTTTTCATGATTGTTGCTATATTATTATGTTTCATGTTGAACAGCAATGTTCAACAATAACAATGTTTTCTTTTCTTTGGTTGACATCCTTCACCCTTTTAATAACCATAAATAGTGTATATTTATTTATTATATTATTTATTTTAGTACTTAATTATATTTATTTAAAATAAAATCCTCAAATTGATAAATATTTCCTCTGTTGGCAATAATGAAAGTGGGATCTAAAATTGCACAGAAATATCTCTGATGTAAAAAGGTCAAGCTAGGCAAGAGATGTGCCATGCAAGACGGACTTGCATAGCATGAGACTTGCATAGCCTAGATGTAAAGCTGCCTTTATTTTGAATATGATCAACTAATTTTTACACATACAAACGTATAACCAATGACGTATAATATATAGACTCGGTGAACGCTTTAAAAAGTGTCCAAAACATGAATACCTTTGTTATTGTTTATTGTTTTGATACGAAGATACACGAAGTTCATGATTTCTTACGAAGCATCACGAAGTTGATCTTGTGTTTGAAAACATTTTCTCCATTTTGTGTGACAAGCAAATTTTATTTTAAATTGTTGAGAGTTATTTACTTACTATTTTAGTAAAATACCATACTATTTTATCAAAATAATTATTTCTCTTATAGATGCGAACAAAAAGTAATCATAAATATTTAATTTTAATTAAAAAAATAATTATTGTCATTAAAATATAAATGAGCACGCCGCTGTTCTGATAAACATACCTTTAACCTTGAGCCGAGATCTTTTGGACACTCGATTCTTTAGGGAGAAATGGACCGCAGGAGTGTGACGTCACATTGTCATTATTACTTTCCAAACAAACGTTGAAATGTCAAATCTCAATACTTTTTAATTCCTATAAAGTTAACATTTTGCTTCCTCTGCTGCTTTTTCTTGTAAGTATAGTGTTTTTACGATAATACCGTCATAATTCAGAGTTCTATTTCTATGAAATATGGTTTAAAAGTTTAATTAAAGAAATTTTAACCTTACTTTATTGATACTTTCATCACAGTATAGACAACAACCAGTATTCTCACTCTGCGGCGGTACCTTTGATCTTTTTCGTCCAAATTCGGTGACCTTGACGCCATATTGTTTGGCCGAAAACCTGTTGTTGTCTATACTGTGCTTTCATTTTATTCCTATTAGCATAAAACAATGTGCTTTATTATTTACACAACCTTGTAAAATTGTTGTAGTAACTATTAGAATACTTAAATATTGCAAAAAGCGGAAAGATTCTATAAAATAAATGAAAAAATTAAGAAAAATACAAATTATCCACACTAAACAACGTTTGTTTGGAAAGTGAAACTGGCAGATGTCAATCAAATCTACGTCATCACTCCTGTGGTCCATAGGGGACTGCGTAGTCTATATATTATACGTCATTGCGTATAACAAAGAAGAAGTGACGGTTGACATGACAGTTTGTTTCAGAGTGAAAGCCTTGTTCCCGCCAAAAATAATACTTCAGTTTGTTTCTACATACCTTATTTTAGATATTGTTAATATAAAATTTGATCATAATGGATGTTGCTGATATTAATATTGGTCAAAGACAGCATCGTGATGAAATTGGAATTCGATGTCAAAAGTTGTTTCAAGACTTTTTAGAGGAGTAAGTCTTCTACTTAAAATAAAAGTATATCTATTAATGGTATTGTTTTAGGTACAAAGAGGAAGGCGAATTGAAATATCTTGAGCCTGCAGTAGAACTTCAAAGCGAGGAACGGAGTACTATTGAAATTAGCTTCGAAGATATAGAAAAATATAACCAAAATCTTGCCACCACCATCATTGAAGAATATTTCAGAATCTACCCATATCTTTGTCAAGCAGTCTCCAATTTTGTCAAAGATAGAGCTGGTCTCAAACATGAAAAGGAATGTTATATTAGTCTTATGGATGTACCCACAAGACATAAAGTTAGAGAACTTAAAACTGATAAAATAGGTACTTTAGTAAGGATATCTGGTCAGGTTATTAGAACACATCCTGTCCACCCTGAATTAATTTCTGGAACTTTTAGCTGTGTTGAATGCCAGACTGTAATTAAAAATGTGGAACAGCAATTTAAGGTGATATAAAAAAAAATGGCAAATAACAAATATTTATTTCAATTTTATTGCAGTTTACAAATCCAACAATTTGTAGAAATCCTGTATGCAGCAACCGTAGGAAGTTTTTGTTGAATGTTGATAAGTCTAGATTTGTAGATTTTCAGAAAGTTAGGATTCAGGAAACACAAGCTGAGTTACCAAGAGGTTGTGTACCAAGAAGCGTAGAAGTTATCCTTCGTGCAGAAAATGTAGAAACAGTTCAGGTAATATACTTAAGTCAAATTAGATACATAATTAATTAGGAATAATATCAAACACTTTAGTTAACTTATAATTCTCCTATTAGGGATATTGATATTAGTAATATGATAAAACGGTAATAATGAGTAAAGGAAATAACTGCACTAAATAAAATTTTATTTTAAAGGCTGGCGATCGGTATGACTTCACTGGAACACTAATTGTAGTACCTGATGTTGGAGCTTTTGCTCTCCCTGGAGGACAAACTCAAGCAGGTTCCAAAAGTAGAAGGCCTGAAGAATCTGAAGGAGTTAGGGGACTCAAAGCACTTGGGGTGCGTGATCTACATTATCGCATGGCATTTTTAGCTTGCAGTGTTCAACCAACTATTCCCAAATTTGGAGGAATTGACATGCCACTGGGAGAAATTACTCCAGAAATAATGAAGCAACAGATGACAGAAGGAGAATGGGCTCATATGTATGAAATGTCTCATGACAAAAACTTATATGTCAATATGATTAACAGTCTATTTCCAAGTATACATGGCAATGAGGAAGTCAAGAAAGGGATTTTGTTGATGTTGTTTGGAGGAGTATCAAAAACTACTATAGAAGGTAATACTAATGTGATTCACTAGTTAATTCTAGGTATACTTCATCTAATTTAGATAACGACTTGTGTCATTATCTACGTCAGAGATCGAAGTTGACATAGTTGCCAAAGTATAAAAAAAATCCTGACTCCATTTTAAATCAAATTGATAACATAATTATTGAAAAAGTATTACCATCTCTTTACAATGACTATTTAAATTCTTACGTGACATTTTTGAAATAAAACACACTACTTTTGTTCTAAAAAGAACAGATTTTATTAAATAGGTAAAAATATAAAACAAGAGGTATTCACTTTAAAATTCAAAATAATAAAGTACAAAAAGTGTCAACACCGCAACTGTCAAATAAGTGTTACCAATTTATGCCAAAATTTTACCTTCGTTCGATTACAGTTACAGTGTGTTCCGAACAAATATTCTTGATAAAACTCTTTATAATGGATTTATACAAATTAAATGAAACATATTATTGTGTATTTCTTTAAGTTAACATCAATAGAAATTTTTAAATATTATTTCTACACGTATATAATAAAATATGCCTAGTGGCTGTAATGCCAGTGTACTCGGTAAAGTGATTCTAAAAAGAACACGGTAATTACTTACATTAGTAAGGATAGTCGAATTAGTCTAAAATTTGGACAGTGGATTATGTTTTATTTTTTATTCACTTTTCAATCTATACATTTTTTTACGCTGAGCTATAGTTTTTCTGTAATTTGCTTTTAAAAAACTGATATTTTGACATAAATTTCAAGATGCCGCCGCCATTACAGCTGTTGTCAATGATGTGCGTATGCGTAGTACATACTTCTTGATCCAATGTTGCCACACTTTTCAAATATATTGTTTATTGTGAAAATATTAATTCTCAAATACAATCATAAAGAATAATGATAATGAGTATTATTTCCATTTTCTGTTTCTAAGGGATACATATAACTGTATTTCATTTGTTATTAACTGATGTTATTACGTATAGATTATAGCTTATTTCGTTTTATGTTGTATTTAGTTGGATGCATTAGTTATCAACTTCTTTATTAGTTTAAATTGTTAGATGATATGAGTAGATTACTTTTTAATTTGTTTTTTTATTGGTACTCCATTTTGCTTATTTAAAGTACACCGTAGCGTGTTTAACCACAGAATAAGAAACAATCATAATGCTCACTTTGAAATGCCGCCTTTAAAGTTTTTCAGCACGCTATCGCCATGTTGTAAACGGAACCATAGACTCGAATTGAGAAATTTGTGACAAGATACGACAAAACTGTAATTTAAATTTTTAGAGATTAATAATTTAGTTAATTTGAAATAATTTTAATAATTAATAATAATTTTGAAATAAATTTAATAATAATTGGATTAGTTTGGATTTGGTTTTATTATGTTATTTAATAGTCAATATCGAGTTTTGCAAAAACACTAATCACTAATTTATATGGACATATATTCTTATTAAAACTTAAATTTAATATAGTTACACCGCAAAAAAAAATATTAAATCATATGTGGTACACTTTTAAAAAACAACGTTAAATCATATGTACTATACTCTTATTAAAACTTAAATTCAATATATTTACTCTGCAAATAAAAACAATAATAAGTCATATAGAGTATACTCTTATTAAAATTTAAATTCAATATATTTACTCCTAAAAAAACAAATCTATATGTGGCAACATTGAACCAGCGTGGAATATCTTATGTTGTACGCAAACGCGCTTGACTTGTTCTTCCAAATAAATGAATTTTGGCCATTTTACAATATTTTATATTTTTGGATAATTTAACGGAGAAAATGATTGGTATTTACAATTGATTTATAAATTTTATATAACTTTTACGGCTATTTCGTATTTCGATAATATTTTTCTCTTGCTAATTTTTGATTTTCTATAGTTTTTATGAAATTTTTTCAACTTTTTTTACATTTTTTTACTTTTTGTATGTTTCCGTAGACGGAAACATGAAAATTTTGCCTTTTTTTCATTTTTCAGGCTAAGTTCCCGAAAAATTCGCATTTTTAGGGACCCTTACTAATGTAAACAATTACCAAGAACACACCTAAACCCTAAATATTTCGTGTTGGTATCATATGACGTCACAGGCTATGACGTGCATCATTATATAAATTAGATGAAGTGTATGTGATATTGAAGTGCCTGGCTTTTGGCAATATTGCTAATTACAAAAACTGATATGATTTTTTAACCAAACTACTATTAAAGTTTCTCTAAATCCACCTTTTTAGTTTTTAAATTTTTTTGACTTTCTGCACAGAATAATTGGAAATTGTGGATGTAAGATCTCCACTGAAATGTTTTGCTATATTAGCTGGGTGTATATTGCCCCAAAACAGTTAAAATATGACATTGAAAGAAGAACAAAGTTAAGTGAATCTTGTTTAATCTATTTGGGCATATCAATAGGGAATCAAGATTAAACTTGTGTAGTTCATGTTGCATGACAAAGATGTTGACTTAATTTGGAAGCATGGCATTGAGACCAAAATAGAAAAAGCCTTTTGCTGTTATAAGACTATGAACTGAAAACCCACTTGATTGAATATTACTTTTTTCTGGTGGATTTTTCAGCTTACATGAAAATGGAAAGAGCCTTATATATATACAGAGTCCAACTCCAACTCCTCATTGTCAAAGCTATCCTGCTTCCAATCCACTGTGTGTATCAACTTCACTAACTTCTGCTAATAAAATGACTTTATAAGAGACCAAAATCTGGTTTGGAAAATTTTTTGCTTTAAGCCATTCTGGCTCTTATTTTACTTTTCACCAGGTAATGATCAACTGGTTATTGTGACTGCTAATCATGAACCACTATTTTGTTTTGTGGTGCTACTTTCATGACACTCATTTTAGCATTTCACTTTACTACAGGAGAAAAAGTAATATAATGCCAGAATAGAAGCTTCACTTCAAAATGTACCTTTTGTTGTACACAGTAACATAGATAAAAATTGATTTTCGATTTGGATGTCAAATTTCAAACAAAGGATTTTATTACAATTGAAGGGTACAGGGAACTAAGTCAAAAAACTATATTTTTTAGGAGAAAGAAAACCAAATTTGAAACGATAAAAATTCTATGCTTTTTTACATTCTTAGCTAAATATTTTTATATATTTAGTTTGATATGTACTTTTTATAAATAGTTGGAATAATGTTATGATTGAATTTTTATTTCGTAGCTAGATATTTTTTCTTTAATTAAAATGTGTACTGACTCCCCTGAAGAGATCAAAAATTTTTTATTTTTAATATTTTTTTTAACTTTGTAAGGCATTTCTACATCACATTAAAAGAACAAACCAAGCTACAAACTACTGACTAAAGTTAATCTGATTTCTAAAAATCGCTTTGATCATCTGGAACATCATCGGGATTAGATGGTGACACAACCTAATTGGCAGAAAAAAGTTGACTGTAGTACTCTTTAGATCACTCTTCTTCACAGAATTTCATTGGAACTTTAAGATCAGCAGACTTTTCTTTGGGTAAAGATATAAGCGTTTGGTAGAGCTAATTGGGTTCTTGAAGATCAGGTACCTTTGATTCCCCTTCTGGTTCTTCCATTGATCTTTTACTAGAGACAAGAAAGATCCGTTATATGTTTCCCTGTGATCCACTGTTTTGCATTTTATTTCAAAAAGCATTAATGTTTTATTTGCCCAATAGGAAAAGAAAATTTCCTTTTGTAGAACTGTAGGACAAAAATGTACCCCATTCTGTAAACATAATTTGTTCACTTGATACAACAAATCTAACCACTTTTTGTGATGGTTAGGTCCTGCATGTACATGTTTAAAATATCATTTGCCAAAATATGAATATTAAAAATATAGAATGACAGCTGTCTTCTAAATACACTTCAGCAGAAGTTATATTTTGGAGTAGGGAGATTTTTTTGAATTCTATAGCAATGTTCTTTAAATGAAGTGTCTTTTCAAATTCTAGCTTCATGATATCGTTCTCTAACTTTACTTTTTCGTCATCACTTTTTGAAACAGCAATTTTCCTATCAAACTCAATACCTTTGCTTTCTGCTCGTCACACTAACAGCTTGTTTCAGTTCGTGGATAACTGAAGGAAATATTAAACTATGACACAAATATTTGCCTGAATGTTTCATAACACATCTCAATATGGGGATGTTTAGTCAAAAATAATTCAAGAAGCTTTTTAACATTCATATCTTCCGAACGGTAAACTCTGTTAGAGTCAAACTGCAGTGCACTTTACGTCCATTTTATGAGTCAAAAAACTGCAATAGCAATTTACGAGTTTGTTGTTCTACCTTATAAGGTCTATTGGTATGCTTTCCCCTTCTATCGATCGGCGCCTTGCCAGTTGTTCTTAAAGATATTTTTATTGTATGTATTTGGAAGGATTTAATTCCAAACAGTAAAATATACTGCACTGCCATTTCTGCTAACTCTTACTTTGTAGTTACAGATTTCATTCAATCTAGCATCTTCTTCGTTTTTTCTTGGCCTTTGTTAAAACACAGGTTGTAATGAATAAGTCCAGATAAGTAACTATTTTGGGCATCATTACAATTGTTAAGGCCAATGGTATTAAACTGTCTTATTAAATCACTTTGTTCGACAATAGAAATATTCTGAAAGTACTTATATTGCTTACACTGACAGTCTTCTCCTGTTTCAAAGGTAGAGGCTCGTAGCTTCTTAGCAAGATCTCTAAGGCAGCCATGTGCTTTGAGCTTTTTCATTGATTTTTCTTGATTAACACATGTATTTTCGTCAGTGCCTGACATTTGAAACAATAAAATTTTCAACAAATACTCTAAAACTAAAGAATACTCATTACTTCTTTACTAACAACTTTATGAACAAGCTTGAATAAACGACTTTGAAACAACAACTAATAAACACAGCTGAGATGACCTGCGTGAGAGTAATAACGAAATTTATGGACAGTGTAGGTTATTCTCATGTTGACTATGTTGGTTTTTCCCCCTGCAATAGATATTTAAAACCTTGAATATCTCAGGACTATTTTTGTTGTTCCCCTTAATTTGTCAAGATAAAGTACACGGCAAACAGAAAGTGTGGAAAGGTAAACCAGATTTTTTTCATTTTTGGACTATGTTGGTTTTCCCCTGTACCCTTCAATTGGGATCTGTTCCCAACCAGAATTACTAAATTTTGACCTGAACAGAAGTAAAAATGCCAACTAGACCTACAGAGAGATTTACATGATATTGTTTATATATAGCAAATTTAATATTTGTATGAAATGTTTCAAATCTAGTAAATTCTTCTTTTCAAGGTACTTCTTTAAGAGGAGATATCAACTGTTGCATAGTGGGTGATCCAAGCACAGCAAAGAGTCAGTTCCTGAAACAAGTCTCTGAATTCTCTCCTAGAGCAGTATACACCTCAGGCAAAGCTTCCACTGCAGCAGGTTTAACAGCAGCTGTAGTAAAAGATGAAGAATCCTCAGATTTTGTAATAGAAGCTGGAGCCCTTATGTTGGCAGATAATGGAGTTTGTTGTATAGACGAATTTGACAAAATGGATTTAAGAGATCAGGTTGCTATTCACGAAGCTATGGAACAGCAGACGATTTCTATAGCCAAGGCAGGTGTTAGAGCAACACTTAATGCAAGAACTTCAATATTGGCGGCAGCTAATCCGGTGGGAGGACGTTATGATCGTGCAAAATCATTACAACAAAACATAAACTTGTCAGCTCCTATTATGTCTAGGTTTGACTTGTTCTTTATTCTTGTCGATGAATGCAATGAAGTTATAGATTATGCTATTGCTAGAAAGATTGTTGATTTACATTGTAACATAGAAGAAAGTGTTGAAAGAGTATACACTAAACAAGAAGTTTTGCAGTACATAAGTTTTGCCAGGAAATTTAAACCCATTATTAACAAAGAAGCTGGAGATTTGCTAGTTCATTATTATAATCGTTTAAGACTAAGAGATAGTTCAAGTACTGGTAAATCCACATGGCGTATCACTGTAAGGCAACTGGAAAGTATGATTCGACTTTCAGAAGCTATGGCAAGAATGGATATTTCAGATGAAGTTCAAACAAAACATGTTCGTGAGGCATACAGGTCAGTATACTGAATATTTTAGCATGAAAGTGTAATAATCATTGTTCACCATATTCAAAAGATATCTAACAGTTAAAACTATCTTTATTACTTCTAAAATGAAATTTTACTTACATTTATTATGTCCATATAATATATACTCATAAAAGAAGCAAATAAATTGTGTCATATACGATATCAAAGGTGCTGTAGCAGCGGTACTAGCTTTCTCTCACTTACTGATATAGTTCCTTGAATATCTACACTATCAAGGCCATTCCTAGGATATCTGCCACCCGGGTGCAAGAATAATTTGTCTGGCTCCCCAAATCCAACCTTTCCAGAAAGTTTTTAAGCATTTGTAAATAAAACAGTTAAAATCATTTTGTGTTAAGAAAAAACAAAATCTGTTTCCCTCTAACATCTAAAAATTTCTTATTTTGATCTCATGAATGTGGCTAGGTTCATCATTTTGGCCCTCATTTTTAATATGAACACCTAAATAATGAAGCATAGTTGATCGAGTCCTTTTAATCCTAAGGAATTATGCCTATGGAACCACTAGCCTTTTTAATTAGTTCTCTTTCTGCTTCCTTTTTCTATTTTTGGCTCTAGAAACCTTTTTTTTTATTATCAGATGTCAATAAAAATCCTAATTTATGATCAAAAAAGACCAATTTTTGAAAAGAAGTTTTCAGAAATGTGTTAACTATTCTACTATTCATTGTTGAACTACTTAATAACTTTTATTAAAAACACAGTTAGATGAACATATAATTTTTTACAGAATCTGTATCCATTTACTATAATTAATCACATATATATATTGATTGGTAGATATATTAATCTTGATTGGTTTGTTTTGTCAAATATTCCAGATTATTAAACAAATCTATCATAAGAGTTGAACAGCCAGACATTCAACTTGGAGATGAAAAAGATGATGCCATACCAGAAGCTGAAAATGGCGAATCAATGGTTACAGACACTCCTGAACCTACACCAACTGTAACTAAAAAGAAGATGGTTTTAAGCTTTGAAGAATACAAAACTATCAGTAATATGATCGTCATTCACATGAGAAGGGAAGAAAGTAGAATGGAAGCAGGTAAGATGATTTTGATTTAGTATGTTATTTCTATACCCAATTGTGTATGTGACCTATTTACATAATTTTTGAATGTTCTAATTTTTACAGAGGGCAAAGAAGGCATTCATAGAAGTGATGTGGTTGAGTGGTATTTAAACCAAGTAGCAGATCAGATTGAAAATGAAGAAGAACTTATTGAAAAGAAAGATATGTTTGAGAAAGTTTTGGATCGTCTAATGTATATTGTAAGTTTTTGTTAATTCAGTTCTAAATTTAATTCAGTTGTTAGATAAGCAATATGTTTCTGGTGTTATTGACAAAATATAACATGAATGTATCAGATACCAGACACAGTACTTAAACCTGAAAATTTGCTGACATTCCAGCACATAGATATCGGAAAGATAATTATGTTAACTGGTCACATTATCTAATATTTCAGACAATATGACATTGTATGAAATATAAAGCTTAACTATCTATTCCGGAACAAAAGAACAATTTCCGAAGTGGAAATCAAAACATCAAAATAAGCATATTGCAAACTAAAATTGTAATAATTCCCAATAAAAACAATAAATTATGTTAAAAAATGCCACAAGAAAATAGCTTTAGAACATTATTAAATTAGCATAATGTTTTTGAACGAAACTCCTGGACAAAATTAACGCACCACTCATATTTTTCTCAATAATCGTTATTTATTGATAATTTACTGTACGACCAATTGCCTATGGACCTTGTTTGACAGTAATAGTTGTTACCTAAGCTAATAATAGTCTTGTTTTAACAATAATTTGTATTAAACTTCGTTTTAGACTAAAAGTGAGTTAAATTTTTCAATAAAAAGTACTGATTCAAGTAAAATGCTTGTGAGAAACAAGCTTTTTATTGTGATATTTTTCATCACATGCATATTTGGAAGTTCATTTGTCTAAAAATCAAATAAAAAAATGAAATGCCAAAGAAATTTGTCAATGGAGGAGGCAATGCGAGCATCGACTCTCCTAGATGAAGGATATTCAATGCGATATGTTGCAGCTTTGTTAGGAAGACATTCCAGCATCAGTTGCAAGGTGAAGAGCTATAATGAAACAGGGTCGTACGATCTAAGACCAGATCAAGGGCGAAAACGTTGCACTAATCAAATTGATGATCGTTTTTTTGAGACAACATGCTCTCAGAGATAGGAGAGTCACTAGTAATTTGCTAAAAAATGAACTAGCAGATGTTCGAAATGTCTCGATATCATCTCGAACAGTTAGAAGATGTTTACATGAAGCACAATTGAGCAACAGGAAACCAACCAAAAAACCCTAAGTACAAGAGAACACAGGGTTCAGAAATTGAATTTTGCAAGATTTCATCAAAATTGGGCCATCAATGATTGGAAATGAGTTCTTTTCTCAGATGAGACTAGAGTAAGCCTAAAAGCTCCAGATGGTCGTGAGAAAGGTTTGTCAGCTGCAATATCTCTCCTAAAGTACTTTTTGGTGGTGGCTCTAAAATGTTTTGGGGTGGAATTTGTTTTTAAGCTCGTACGGAGTTGGTCACCATACATACGAGGTCTATGAATGCCCATTATTACTTAGACAACATTATTTTCGAACATGTGATGCCTTTTGCTCCGTTTCTTGGACCTAATTTTTTATTTATGCAAGACACCGTTCATCCTCATGTGTCTCGACAGGTTATTGACTACCTAAATGATGTTGATATTCCTTTATTAGAGTGGCCACCTAATAGTCCAGACACCTGAATCCTATAGAGCATCTATTGCCAATAACAACCAACTCATTGAGGCCGTTATTGAAGAATGGGAGAATATTCCGCAAGCTTTTGTTGAACATTTGATGTCAAGCATATCATAATGCTCCTCTACTTTTTATGTCGCATAGATGCAGTCATAAGAAATAAAGGAGGCCTACATGGTATTAGTGTTGACCCAGATGCATTTTATTGTGTTACTTTACTGATTTTTTTTCTTTTTGCAATTTGGAGTTATGTGAGCTTATTTACGCATTTCCGACAAAAACAAATTTTTAAAGAAACAATAAGGCAAATTAAGGTCATGATAAAGTCATGTTGGACTTATTTGTAGGTTTTTATTATTATTTCAACGTAACTTCATTGTGTTCATATTATAAATATTTAGATTAAAGTGGTGCGTTAATTTTGTCCAGGAGTTTAAAACTAACTGCAAAATATAGTATGATTATTTTTTGACTACTAACATAATATTGATTACATATTAATACATCATATTCCACTTATATTTTAGGATCAAATTATCATTCCTCTAAATCGCATTGGACTCAAAGGATCAGATCAACAAGAAGAAGAAGATCCCATGTTGGTAGTCCATCCAAATTATGTTATCGATCAGTAGTTAATTTTAATGTTAAGTTTTAAAAATCTTTTATATTTGCTATAGTTCGTAAGAATATTTTACATTGCAAGTACAAGGGGTACATACTGAGTTGTGTTAAAAATCACAATAAAAAGCATTCCTTTGATGTTAGTTATTGGCAGGTTAAGTTTTTATTGCAGACTCAATATTAAATATTTATTTTTCTGTTTAGAGCGGCAAATTCCACAAAATATCTGTTTTTTATATTTTTACATTCCCTTAACCTGTTTTCCCGAAAAACAAGATGTGTATGTTTTATACATTTTTCACAGCTTATATTTTTTAGAAATCTATAGCGATTTGTTGTCATTAAACAAGTGCTAAATCCCCTGCTACACGCAGCCATTGCCAACTATCTACAAGTTTGTATCGAATTAGTATAGAATGTTGGTCTATTAACATTAAATCCACTAAAGTTGAATATCAAATGCAATCCATGATCTGCTGTGAGACACAGATGGAGGAGGAAGAATTCTTATATAAATACCCTCCAATTATCAGTTTGCTTGTTTCTTGCTTTCTTGATAAGTTCATTGCTTGGTACTTTTTCAGGGTTTAGATTCAGCAATTATCTAAGATTCCGAGACAACTGCTTCATCATCAGGTTATTTGAACAAACTTTTATCGTAAAGTGAGATACTGCCTTTTTTTGTTTTACTAACAATTCGTGTCAACCATGTGTATTTCATAACGTTGAAAACTGAAAAATTAAGGAACTGTAAAAAATGGCTGGGAGCTTTAAGATGGTTATTTTTTCCCATTATCCACTTTTTGAAAACTTAAAATTAATTAATTGAGCCATTTGTCACTATTAGCATTTACAAAAATTGATACAGTATTCTTAACCTTGCCCGGAGAACTTTGGTTCTTTAATATGGCTTACCCCGTTTACCAACAATTTTTGACTTGAAAGTTTGACAGAAAATGACATTATTTCATTTAATTTCCATGTATGGGGGCTGGTTTACCCTCAATTTGTAACTCGTTTAAGGTGTATTTTAACAAACTGAAGTTTCCATTGATGATGAAGGGTGGGCTCATTTCTTATGTATTATATCTGTAAAGAGTATTTGAATGTTTGTATTAACGAATTTTCAATATTTCAATGTATAAACATTTTAACAATGTTTACATCATATAATTATCTTGATTTACAATTCATTATTTGATTTGTTTCACTATTATATAATACTTAATATTCGTTCTGAAGCTGTTTCTGACAACTCTGGTTTTATCAACTGTTGTTACGTAACTTCTAAAACAGTGTACTCTCCAGCGCACTTTGTTTTGTGTATATATCATTGTTTTTTAATCTCAGCAGTAGCCTATACTGTACTTGTTGCATCAGACGGATCTTGACTTATTGATATAATTGCGAGCGCATTGAACCTTTTGGCACGGCAGTATTATGATATTCGATAGTGTTGGGATTTTACAGACTTTTCTATGGAAACAACTCTATTTTAAAGCACACACTTTATTGTAATTGTGGATATTTGGATAGACCACCTTAAATTAGATTAAATAAAATAAAATTAATAAACTAAATCCAATCCTCCGATAATGCTACCTTCACTATATTTTCAACATAGTCCAGTTAAATCTCTAAGAGGCATGTTAACACCAATGAGAGCCATGTTTTTTTTAATAACTTACCTTCCTCTCTTTGTTATTGTTTACAAATGTGTCTGAATGAAGTAAACTTGTAAGCTGTTGAGAAATTATATCTCTTTTTAAATAACCTCACTTTTTATGTTTTATTTAAACAATTGGGAAACTCTTGTACCACTTAGTATTAAAAATGACAATCTCATTTAATATTAGGTTTTATTTTTTATTATAAAAATACTGTACAAAACAATTAAAATAAATACTATTTACATCTGTGTTCATTCTTCATTGTAAAACGACCCAAGGCGCGTCATAGAAACATTGTTGGGCTGAATTATCAAGTCTTCTATGTTATCTAGAAATGTAGCAGGTCCTAAAACATTTTTTACGTAAAATGATACTACTAAAATGCTGTGACCCATTAATAACATCAAGCAATCATACTGATAGAACAATGGGACTTTCATAGGGTACTATATACAAAAGTTATTAAGTATATATACGACAATGCAATATCGCAAGTAATAGAAAAGATAACACTACAGAGAGGGGTTAGATAAGGATTTCAACTAAGCTTTTTATTTTAACCCAAGAAGATACATTTCGAACTTTATGTGGAAAACAGCAAAAGACAGAATTGCAGGAAATGCTATTGGATAATACAAAATCAAAAGAAAGGACTATAAATAAATCTAGAAGCAACTAAATATCTAACAAATGAATCTCTAGATATTACTGAGGATATAACTCTGGACAGTTGGGCTGAAAACATTAACCTCAAACTTATTCATGATCCAAAACAGCCCGCGTCTTTCAACAGCGGAAGATGGCGCAGAGGTTGCAACCCAGACAATATATTTGTCAGCGACAGTATTGTAGACCAGGTGACAAAAATTAAATTAAACGCCCTCCCAAAAACACAGCACACACCACTTATAAACAATCTTTAAATCAAACTTAACAAAAGTTCACAGACTCTGACAGCTATGGAACGTCCAATACTCAACATAGTGATCGCATATCTAATGGGGAAATAAGAAAACGATCAAAACTAACTTATCAACAAACAGCATTGTTGTTTTAAAATGGAGCTGGACAAGACATAGGAAGAATGGAAGACAACCATTAGAGGAAACGAATTGTTAAATGGAGACCAATAGCAAATACGAGAATTGTGAATCGCGGATTCCCCTTGCTCTGCCTAAGCAAGAAAAATTCCCAAAAAACTGAAGGGAGAATTCTATAAAACAGCCAAAGACCAGCTAGGATTACGGAACTGAATGTTGGACCGTTAAAAAGAAAGAGGAAAAACGAATGCATGTGGCGGAAATGAGAATAGAGCGGAGAAAATGATCCATTAAAATAAGTATATTGGAGAAACTCTAGGAGTGACACCAATTGATGCCAAACTTCTGGGCCTCCTTTACATTTTCATCATTGGACATGATAAAACATCTGGTAATAATGAAGACCCATAACATAATATCTTTGGCTCGTCGGATAGATATTGTTCAAACTTGATTTTAAGTAATTAAATGAGTACCGTAAAATAAAGTTATTTCTAACACCACCTCAAAAAATACTATCAATACGAAAATTAGAATGTCTATTGGAATAACAATGGAAACAACTGGAGAACATTCACAAACACAGTACACAAAAATATACGAAGCAAACTTAATATTTTTATATATGTAAAAATACTATTTTAAATCTTACTTTCGGAAGTTTTCCTCCATTCTGAAAATATATATTCCTCTTCTATTTCGTATATGAATACTTCAATACAACCAATCTCTTCTAAAATCTAAAAGTTAAAACAATTAAGCGTAAATACATTATTTATTAATCCACAATATCAATAATGTGGTTCAGATCAACTGATAGATGGCAAAGTTGTGATAATATCACAATAAAATAAATTCCAGGACTTTTACTAAAAACAATTCATCGAAAGTTTTCATTAATGAAATTATATAGCTTGAATTGTGACAAAACTCGTTTAAACTAACTTCGAACAAAATTGCCAACGTGCTACAATGCGAATTTAATCCAAGTGATCCAGTAATGTTAAACTTGAACACAAAGGATCTACCAAAAGTTTAAAAATTGGATTTACATCTTATAAATGGTGGCTTGTGGAATACATGTTCTCCCATTTAGCTTCTTTAACTTTCTAAGCGTTTTAGGAGAAGCTACGTGGCGAGTAATTGCAGTATCGATAACGAATTAGATGAACCGGAAATTCAAAGCCTTCATACTGGAGGCTATTGAACGATGCTAGGAATAACCTTTCACTTCCACAGGCATCTACAGTTCACCCTTAAAACACTATTTTTCCCTCTTTACGTAGAAAAAAGTCGTTAAATAAAAGTAAAAATTGCATTTTATTTCAATTCGAATTCACCATTATTCTACACGTGTTTCGAGTTATTCAACTCCTCATCAGGGGAACACTTGTGGAAGTTCAAATTGAAATGAAATGCAGTCTAGTATTTGTCCGTTATATAAAAATAGATCGGTACACGTAATATTCATCGATTTAAAACCGATGAAACAAATCAAGATAACGCAGAGGTCAAAATAAGCCGTACAAAATGTATACAAAAATAACAGGTTAAGAGTTAAAACAGCAATAAATACTTGAACGAATTTAAGACGATAAAAGGCTTACTGCAGGGATGTAGTATACATTTCTGAGGCCGTTCAAGATATTCCTAGAATAAATATTAAAGCCACGAAAAAGGAAATATGAATGTATGGTAATAACAATCCGAGAAGACTTCTTGTAGGCACTAAGTTTTTCAGATGACCAAGAGGTAACGGCTCAAATTGAAGAAGATCTATCCTATATGCTCCGAAAACTAGAAAAGAAATACACAAAAAATATACTGGAAATAAACCTTCAGAATACCGAATACTTAACAGCGGAACAAGACCTAGTGAGAAACTTGAAAATGGACGAAGATAGGGAAAAACTAACGAGGCTTTTTAACTCCTCCAGTGGCAGATGCAATCTTAATAGCGGCTTTGGTTAACAGCTGTTTACCTGGTGCTTTTCCACCAGTGGATTTTCGGACTGTTTATTTCAGCCTTGTCAAGGCGTATTGTTGACCACCAGTTAAATATTTCTGATGGTAGGTTGTCTGATCTAGATGATTTGTTCAGGGCTAGAGACTGGATTGCTTTATTTCAGTTTCTCCATGGTCTTTAGTTCAGTTTTGCCTTCTTCGAGTCCTATACGGTCTCTATCTTCACCTCTATTTTCTCCATTAAGTAGTGTACTAAAGTGTACCTGCCAACTTTTTGGTATTTCTATTCTTTTTCAAAAGTGCTCCATTCTAAACCTTAATCTGGTTTGCTTGTGGTTTGAAACTTTCTCTTTTGGGGTTAATTTGTTTGTAAAACTTTCTGAGTTCACGTTATCTGTTTAAGTTTCCCCTCTTTCTTCAAATCATTGATTTTTTTGCAAACATTTGTTGTCTGACTTTTTATTTTTTCTCTCTCTCCTTATTATTCGATATTTTTTTATTCTTCTGTTGATCGTTATCAGATATGCCTTAAATTTGTAAAGAAATCTAGCAGGTTATAAATAATAATCAAGATCTACCTAGAGATGAAATGAGTATCAATCGAAAAACTAATTGTACATTATAGACCATGCAAAAGAACAACTTCCACTTAGATGATCAGACTACCTCAACCAATATGCCTAGCTAAATGATGAACGGGAGTCGCTCAACACAAAGAGAAATGGAAGCAATCAAGGATGTCAAAATTCATGTTTTATTTTATATACAGTTTATTTCACTTACCTGCACAATAAAATATAAATCAACTGGTTTTATATAACGAAATTTATCGCAGACTTTTGAAAACGGCACTTTAGGGTAATCCAGACAGTAAGACAATACATTGCATGCCCATGTTTTTAACATCACTCTATTAAGTGTGCCATTTACCTTCACCCACGGCATTATTATCATACTAGATAGAGCTTTTCTAAAAATAACGTTTTTTATATGCTTTATAAAACAATATCAGGTATTTACCTTTGGTCAGCTGTTTCTGTATTAAGAGAAGAACTGGCACTGGAAAAATTCTGTTCAACTACCCATATGTACTGATACGAGTAGTGTACAAATATTAGAGTACAGGTACCTGTTTGAAGCAGTATCCCAGCTTTGATTAAAATTTTGATTATGTTTATCAAGGAACAGTTTTCTTCACGATGTAAGAAATTTGCCTGAAAATATTTTAATATTTATTAAAAATCGGTGCGTGGGTTTACAGCAATAATAGCACTTCCTCACACTAATGCCGCATCCTATATATATATATATATATATATATATATATATATATATATATATATATATATATATATATATATATATATATTTGAATATATATATATATATATATATATATATATATATATATATATATAGTTGAAATCCATATATAGTTGAAAATCTGATATTTTTTTTATATTTTCTATGACTCATCAAGTGAAAGGAAACTGCGCAGAGGTTACAGTTTTCAAAAATGACGTAGATATTAACCTTATGTTTAATTTTTTGTATTATTTTAAGTATTAAAATAAGTTTAATAATTAAATAAAAATAAAACTGTAAAATATATTTATTTCTTTGAAGTCATAATAATAGATGTACCTATAACTTCTTACGAGCACACACCCTTTTTTTGAAAACAATTAAATACATAACGAAACAGAAAAAATTTTAATAAAGCAAATAATGCAAAATGAATAAATAATGAACATAAATAATACAAAATAATCCAAAATTTACTATAAGTAAAAAATGTTCAGATATGTAACAAATGTTCAAATTTCTTGCCATCTTGTGCAATACAACAAGCGATTCTATCTTCGAATGATTTATTTACATTATTTAACATAGCAGGAGTCATTGAAGTAAACGCGTTTGTAATTCCTAATTTCATGTCATGAAGTAGTAGGAGGTGTAGCATATACAATATTTTTAATATAACCCCGTTTTAAAAAAATCCATCTTGGTTAGTCCTGGTGACCTAGGGGGGCAATTATATGAACCACCTCTATCTATCCATCTGTTTGTACCAGAGATTTTTGTTCGTAGGCTAAGAGGAAGGTTCTCAAGCAGTGTCCAAAAATCTTGTTTTAAAAAATTTAAGAATTTGTCCCATTGAGATGTCCGTCAAAAAAATACGGGCCGATAACGTACCCGCCCACAATGCCGTACCAAACATTAACACTCCATCGGTGTTGGCGATCAACAGTACGAATTAAATGTTTATTTTCTGTGTCAACTTTACCTAAAGACCATAAACAAAAATTTAAACGGTTACCATAATCATATTCTGTCAAATGCTGGTGAAGTTGAATGTGATACGGATGAAAGTAGTTGGTCTTAAGTATTCAACATCCACTAGTTTGGCTAATTTCTAATTCACCCGAAATTTTCTTGTACTAATATTTGGGTTTTCCGTAACAGAAAGCAGGACAATAAGTTCGTTAACGTTGTCACCAATAACTGGTTTATTTTTATTTGCCCTTTCGTATGCAGCATTATCAGTAGCATGGAATCTATTAGGATACTTTTGAGCGTAAACTTTAGAAGCTAAGAGACAATTTTCCCAACATTTTCCAATGCAAAGTACCACGTCGACTCTTTCATGGATAAGGTAATTTTTAGGATCATTGAAAGTTAAATATTACACACGAATGTTTATATTTTGACAACTACCAGACCGTAATGTCAGAAAGCGAATTCAAATTCTTATCACTGTGGTTTCTAAAACTTGCAAAGCAAACAGCTTGATAAATTACTCGGCAAGGGAATATAAGATTGCATTTCACATGCCGTTCATCATGGTCAGAATTCCTAGTGAATTCAATTTCTGGTACTACAAACGGAGTAAAGAAATTAAATATAAAGACGGTACTAGATTTTTGTTTCAATACAGAGCGGCGGCAAGCCGCTTATACGTATTTCGACCTCTGTAGGTCTCTTCAGAGCGGTTTAGATTTCGCCAGGTAGAAATCGTATGATTTCTCTTTTTATTATTAGATGGCGTAGTTACGTCCGTATATAGTTATTTTGATAACTATTGTCTAAAACGGGAATAGCTTTTGTTTAGATCCAGAGAGGTGGCTATACCTCAGTGTCGAGTCACTCGACACTGAGTAGTAGGCAGATTGAGACCTCAGTACCGAGAGACAGTTCTTGTATTTATAATACAGAACACGATACTGGTACGTTTCGAGTGAGGGGAGTAGGCAGATTGAGACCCCGAACTAGAACCGAACCGTATCCCTCTTGATAATGGCTCCAAAATGGGAGCCGAAACGTCGAGCATTAAATTCTCAACGCGGTTCTTCCCGAGAACCTAGTGATTTTCATATATATATATATATATATATATATATATATATATATATATATATATATATATATAATATATATATATATATATATATATATTCTTAGGCTTAGGTAGTAGAATTTCTTAGGCTTAGGTTCATAAAAAAAGATTCTGTACTTTTCCGGGTCTGATTCCACTTTGAGTAATTTTGGGTTTTAGAAAATCCATTATTTTGACGACGTTTCGGCAAGGTCACACTTGCTATGAACAAGTCAGATTAGTTTTGCTTCGTCCTGATGTTCGAGAAGACTTGATTTCTAGACAATGTGTGCGAATGCGAGTGAGGTCTTATTCGTCAATTTAATTTCTACGTTTTTCTGTAGAATTGGTTTGCATGCAGTTAAGAGTCTTTGGACAGCATCTCTTGTATTTGCCAAATTATTCAACAAGGAGTCAAATCCGAAAGTCACAGATATTACATCTAGCTCCCACAGAAACCTCAAATCAAATATTGAATTAAACGTTCTGAAATAAATAATCTTACCTTTAATTCGGCGCCCGTTACACCAAAAAATGTTTTAGATGATGCAAACTGTATAATATCGGACGCCAATGCAATATCAAATTCGTTTCCTCCATCGTTTAATATCAACTGTTCAAATTTGGGCATTCTTAAAAAATCTCTGACGATTATTTTACTAAAAAATATATAAATTAATGTATTAATCAAGTACAAAACTATACCAGTAACATTATAAGATTGTTTTTCAAACAACTTAACTGACTACAATATAATGTTCTATTTAAGACTTAAGATAAGAATTCAGGTCTTCTTCTTCGTCGAGTACATTCCTATCGAAGATCGACAACAAGAAGTAAATGATTATTCCCCATACTTACCTTTCTATTTTATTCCAAAGTTGGCTGTATCTCTCCGATCCTTCCAGCTCTTTAATTATGCTATGATTTTTTAGCTTTTCAAAATCGTCATCATTAAAAGTAATCTCATTTAATTTTATATATTCGGTGATGAAATGATTTTTCAATCTGCTGAGGTCGGCAGTTGTTTTTAGTTCGCTGAAGTTTTCTTTTAATAAATGGCTAAGCTCCGTTATGTAAGGAATAGTTCTTTCCTCGTTGTTAGTGGTAAGTTTGAGCATACCTAGAACATAGGGTTATTTTAAATATCGTATCGTGTTAAAACTGTACAAGGGATAAATCAATTCGTTTGACACGGTAGTATTAATAGTAAGCAATAAAGGAAATTTTTCATTGACTTTAAGAATGCCTATGATAATATTAATCGAAAATTAATGATTGCGATTATCAAAGAAACACTTAGAGTACAGAGTAAAATCAGAACCAAGAATGAATTAACAGATACAATTTCTATTAAGACAACACCACGCCAAGGATATCTTATTGAGCTTATCATCCTAGAAAAATGACAATTCTGGACTATATTGTGTGGTGCGGCAGCAATTCAAAGACCAATTCGTGCATTTTTGCCATCGTTTTCATCGACTTGTGACACGGTGCATTGTCTTAGTGAAACAACAATTTTTTCTTTAACAGATGAGGCATTTTCTATGCGATTTCTATGCAATATAGTAGTTTATGTTGATTGTGTTTCCACGTTTCAAATAATCAATACAAATAATTGGAACCCTTGCGGGTTCCAAAATACAGAACCCATAACCTTTTCGGTGGTTTGTTGCGTCTTTGGTCACTTTGGACGGTTTTCTCCGAGGGTTGTCCACTCAGATGACTCTCGATTTGATTCCAGAGTGAAGTGATGGATCCATGTTTCATCCATTACGACATATCGATGTACCATTATTTTACCAAATTATTACGACATACCAAAAGTTCCGACTTATTTCAATCAAACATTTCCTAAAGAGCGTTGAGACTCAGCAATTCGTTGTTGTTTATGCGCTGGTTAAAGAAAACAACGTGACACCCATTTGGAAAACAGCTTTCTCATACCCAAATGTTCGTGTGTAAAAGTGAAATGCCTTTGATAACTACCCTTTGATAACTTTAAAATGTCAGCTATCTCTTGCAACTTCACTTTGCGGTTTTCCATACTAATTTTCAGCGTTTTTGTTTCGATGTTATCGGGTAGGACATATCGTATTTGCTACAATTAATTTTGATAATTTTTTATTTACATTTCGACAACGGGAGCAACAGCAAATCGACGATAAGCCAGATAATACTATCGGGGAATCCCTGTACCGATGACTTTCATGTGGTAAGCTTTTTGAAGGAACTAACCTCCATAGTAGCGCATCAGTGTAATATGGGTAGGGGGAGGGGTGGCAGATAGCCTGAGGGAAGCATTAGGTCGAGATGGTCCTTGATTTACTGGAACAAATCCTCCTCACACCAATGAATTGTATGCTCGAATGTCCATATGGGTATGTAAATCTCTAGAGGTTGGGTTTACTTTGTTTACTTGCTTTCAAATACTATCCTTTATAACTTTATATTCAAATCAAATGTTTACATTCGCACAATAAATTGTCTTTAATTTTCGATTAAATCGTTAAAGATCCATTTTTTAATAAGAATCGATCTCTAACTTCAACTTAGCTTAAATTTATAAATGATATTTTCCCTTAGCTTATTTGTTCAACAATTTTATTGCATTTCTTCCACTCTTACCTTCTTTAATTTCTTCTACCGTAGGAATTTGCTTCGAGGATCGTTCACTGTAGCTAGTTTTTCTCACCTCAACTTTGTCTTGTGTATTATTCGTAGTTTTACCCAAATCGGAATAAGGATCGCTATATTCAGTGAAAACCTCTTTGTCCATAAACTCTGGACTAGGACTTCGCCTTTCAATGTCCGTTTGTACACGATCGGTGATCCAAGTCTTTAAACGGTCTATGGTTTCGTTATTTCCGGGGTCAATGGTTAGATCTAGGTTAGATTGAGTATCTTGTGAATCTATTTGGTCACACCGTCTTTGTTCGCTGGAATCATCGGCTTGATTATCTTCCTCTAGTTCTTGAGTTGATTTAGATCTAAAATTGTTAGATGGAAACTGGATAAATATTACACAGAAAATAGGTGATATTACAACCAATGCAATTCTATGGCATCTATTTTTAATAAAAATAGATGCCATGAGAAATTAGTTTCACAATCATTTGAGTATTTATGTTTTGGTTGTAAAGTCAAATTTAAATAAATTTAAAATAAAAAAAAAAAAAAAAAAAAAAAAACGAAATCTTACCTAAATGTATCGTTATCGTCTTCTAAATCAATTTCATTCTCATTCAAGGAATTCTGTAGCGACTTCAATATCAATTGATATCTAAGCGCCAATTCATTGGCCAGTTCGTCGTGATTCTCAATTTCTGGGTTAAGTATAACCGTATTATGTGGCAAATAAAATAAGAATGTTATTGTATTACTAAAAGAAAATAACTCGTTCACCCCCAACAGCTGCCCGTACCTTTTTTTCGGTATTCGATCATCCAAATTAAAATTTTTTCCTTTATCTCGAATAATAGAAAACAACGTAGTGCCAGCTTCTTGTGCTGTTTTTTTACTAAACGTACAGTACTGGTAGAAAACGTAGTATTGAGACAGCGCAAATGGGGTATCCCAGATTTTTGTTTTCCGGTCTTTCCATTTCCTACAACTGATGGTGTTGCTTTCTCTGAGTTCTTGAATGGCTTCTCTGAGTAGGGAGTCTGTATAGTTTTGGTAAATTTTCAAAACTCTATGTGTTAGGTCTGGAAAATGATAAATTTTAGCATGAAATTATACAGCGTGACAGTGGCGGCCGGTCAGGATCGGTAGGGTCGGCAGTGCCGACCCACACCTTATAGATATTATAGATTTTTTTATTATTTATTTTAATCAGTATTTTAATAAATAATTGTCGCAGATAATCAGTTGATGTCATTTGTTTTTGTGAAATAAAAAAATATCTGTGAGATAATAAAGACTAAATTTTATTCATGGTTTTTAAAAGAATTCGACCAATTCGACCAGACTAAATTTTATTCATGGTTTTTAAAAGAATTCGTCCAATCTGAGCGTTAAGTGATCCCTGCGTAGACACTTTTCAAATTGATGATCCGATATCGGAGACATCCATCCGCCTGTGAATTCTTAAAAAGGCACGTTTTGTTTTTTGGGCAAGCCTATCCCAACATTGACTATTTACTTGTAAAAATCAACGGAACATTAGTTGATTAGCAACCAAATATACATTTCTTTCCATATGAATTTAATTACCAAGTACGGCAAATTTAAATTTGCCGATGTTTCATTTGGATTGGTGATTGGTCGCGAACTGTACATTGCGAGTGCGGGATGAAATGTTATTTCATATAAGAACGTCAGGAGTAAAGTGAAGTGATATTCAGTGCACGAACTAGCCTTTCTTTTTGTGATTTATTTTTATTTTCTAAAGTAATACTGTGATACGTTACGTCTGCCGTAAATAGTTAAAGGTTAAAGGGTTTTTTGACATATTAGAAGTTTTTTTTTTAATTAAAGTGTAAACAAATTCAGGTAAATTAACCTGAAAAATGCAAGTCATGGGAGAAACTGTAAGTATTGATAAGTCTGACATTGTAAATTATATTTTGCATAATGGGTTTTCATCTATTCCATACGAAGAACAAATTGTTATTAAAATAAGGGGCGTCCTTTGCCTAAAATGTCCCGGCTTATAAATATTAGTGCGGGTAAGGGAAGTAATAGATCATTTTCAGATAATTGGTACAGCAAGTACTCATGGCTTAACGGAAGTTAAATAAAAAACAAACTTTTCTGTTGGCCTTGCATTTTATTTTCGACAAATAGGGGCAAACATCAAAATCCGTGGTGTGAATCTGGTTACGATAATTGAAAGGAATTGTTTAGGGCTTTACATAAACATGATATTTCGAAAGATCATAATTGTGATTTTTTTAAGTTGTCAGGAATTATCTTTTAGGGGACACGATGAATCGGAGCATTCGTTAGATCAAGGTAATTAGAGAGAACTAATAAAAATGTTTAAGAAATACGATTTGGAATTTTCTAATTTACTTTCTGATTCGAAGACATTTAGCGGTGTATCTAAAACAATCCAGAATGAATTAATAGAATCAATTAGTTACATTTTGAGTAACGTTATTGAATCTGAGATTCAGGAAACCATTTGCTTTTCACTAGAAGTAGATGAAACTACCGACATATCATGTCATTCACAATTATCAATTGTTATGCGATACGCGTTACGTGGTAATATCTATGAGAGGTTTTTAGGTTTTACAGACGTGAGTAAAAGCCATAAGGCAGAATATATTTTTGGTGTTTTAAAGGACAGATTAAAATTTTTTGATATCAAAAATGAATTGGTAGGGCAAACTTATGACGGTGCTGCAGTGATGTCCTATTGTAAAACTATTGCACCACAAGCTTTATTTACTCACTGTCATGCACATAGAATGAATTTATTTCTGCAGGATACATGTAAAAAATTAAAGAATGTCGTCTTTTTTTACCAGTTTAAGCGGATTTGCTTCATTTTTCTCAAGCTCGCCTAAACGGACTAATGTTTTAAAACGGTTTGTTTCGAAAAAAATGCCAACAGTTTGTCAGACGTGATGGAATTTTAAATCTCGGTTAGTTTTCACTGTAGCAGATTTTCGTGAACAGCTTTTGGAAGTTTTTGATTTTATTATTGAATTTACCGATTTTGAAAGTGATGATATCTCGATCCGTGAAGCAATCGGTTTAAAAACTTTATTAAATGATTACTCTTTTAACATACTTTTAAATATTTTTAAGAAAGTTTTTACCTAAACCGATTTGATATTCAATGTTGTTCAAAATCAGTTAACTGACATTATTCATTCCAAAAATAAAAGAACAAGACTGGTGCAAAATCTCAGAGATTTTCGTAATGATAATAATTTCCAGTATATACGCAGTGACGTTTTGGACTCGCTTGATATTTCTGAACCCCCCAAAAACAGACAAAGGCATGACACAGAAACAGATCTCGAAAAACGAGTATATTTTGAAATTTTGGATACTATTATTATGCAAATAGATACTCGTTTTTCGAATTTTGAAGATTTGAAGATGCAAATTCTTGACCTCTTTGACGATTCAAAATTTAAAAGTTACGCCAAAGAATTTCCAAGATATTTATTAGACAGGTTAATTAAAAATTATCCATCATTCTTTAATAAAATAAAATTAGAAAATGAATTAAAAGTTGTATATGGTGATCCAAATATTTTCGGAAAATGGGATAAGTTACAAGATATGTATAATTTTATATACTGCAATTCATTACAACAAACTGTTACCGAAATTAATAAATTATTGTCATTAATTCTCTCATTACCACCAACGTCTACCTCAAATGAATGAGATTTCTCTTGCCTCAAAAGAATCAAAACGTATTGTCGAAATACCATGAAACAAGAGAGAATGTCAAGCTCGTCTCAAATGTCAATAGAAAAAAAAAACTTTTAGCCGAAAAAAGTCGGCTAGCCGAAAAAACAAAACGTGCCTTTTTAAGAATTCATAGGCGGATGGATCTCTCCGATATTGAATCATCTATTTGAAAAGTGTCTACGCAGGGATCACTTAACGCTCAGATTGGACGAATTCTTTTAAAAACCATGAATAAAATTTAGTCTGGTCGAATTCTTTTAAAAACCATCAATAAAATGTAGTCTCTATTATCTCACAGATATTTTTTTAGTTCACAAAAACAAATGACATCAACTGATTACCTGCAACAATTATTTATTGAAATACTGATTAAATTAAATATTAAAAAAACTTATAATATCTATAAAAATGTGGGTCTGCACTGCCGACCCTGACCGGCCGTCACTGAAAAAAGAAAATCTCTACTACTTACTGACTGTTCCATCTTTGGAACAAAGCGAACTGTGTATAACTGATTTTAAAACATCCCTTCTTATGTCATCTGGTGTCTTTGGGTCTTCATATTTTTTCTCGTTCTTTTTTGCATCGATTAAGCTGTTTTCAGTGCTAAGTAAATTTTCTTTGGATAGATAATCTTCAGCTATTAAATTTCCTGAAATAGTAATGTATTTAAGTTTAGTTTTATTTAAGTTGTATTTAAATTAGAGTATTGTGGTTTTAGGTTAGGTTAGGTTGGTAGTAATTTGAAGAAGATGTTTGCGCGGCGCGATTAGTTTACTAGTTCCTGGATAACACTTTGGAAGAAACCGCGATAGATACGTTCACTAGTGGCCTGAGAGAGAGAGAGAGAGAGAGAGAGAGAGAGAGAGAGAGAGAGAGAGAGAGAGAGAGAGAGTGCTCGTCAAACTTTATGGGGTCATCGCGTTCGAATCACTGGACACGGAGGCTAACAGAAGGATGAACGGTGTAGCATTTTTTTACCGCCCACATTAATTATTTTTCTTTACGGAGTAGTCATTTTCCTTTCGTTTAACGTTTATTGAATAAACGCTTGGTTTCGAATGATTGTGACTAAATCACGCTGGAATATTTCATACGAAAAAGCAAGAACTTAGAATTTGGCTTCGCAAAGTCATGGTGTCCTTAGGGTGTCTTCCCTATTAGGAAGACGCCGATTTAAGTTTCTTGTGAACAATTATTTAGCTTTCCAGTAAGCACTAGGACAATTGATAGGTACCTACTGCTCAAATCGTTTACTGTTTGATGTTGAATCGGATGGAAACTTGATAGGCAAAGAATACATCAATCAAATGAAGTTACGTATGAACAACATTCACGTATTAAAATAGTCAGTGGTAGCACGAGAGACTCATTAGTATCACGAATGGAAACTTTGAAGTAGATAGATTATCTGGCTATATAGTCCACCACAAAGTCAAGGCCTTTCTTCTAAACTGCCTCAGAATATTGTTGGAATCTCAGTTGAAGTGATTTTTCATGAGTATGATAGTACAGTACGATATAAGGGAGATATTGTTCGATCATTAAAAAACATACAAACCTTGTAAAACATCGTGGACTTTTTTTCGATTATTCATGATATAGGATGCCAAAATTACGTACGCGGCAGAAATTTGGTCTTCGCTCAGTTTAAAAATTTTCATAGTTTTTTGATCGTATGTACCGAGTTTGTTAATCAATGGTCCGAATGTATTATTAATTGGCTTAATTTTTAATAAATTCATGCAGTTTTCTTCCAATACTTTGTATAATCCTCTATGCGATCTTTTGTTCCATCGACGCTGAATTGATCTAAAATAAAAAAATCATTGATAGTGAAAAAGGACTAGCTGATTTAAAAAATTTTAATACAGATTTGTAATTATAAGGAAATATGCACTACAAGGTTTATATACCACAGTACCACAAATTGTAACGAGTGACAATTTCATGTAGATTATTTCATGTAGATTCATGTAGAGTGACTCATATTTCACTTACCTTGAAGTTTTATATCTACTTTCTGGAGAAACCCTGTGCAAAATATCCCGAATAACAGTAAGAGGTACAATTTGCTTCCTGTAAACCTTGTCACTGTTTAAAAATATATCTATAACCTTGGCCAAATACAAAATGTCGTCTTCTGCCTTTGACCATTTTACTTTCGCACCTTGCATTTTTTTTAGAATTTTTCGGTCAATACTATCATTGTATTCTCTTTTCTTATCTTTTGTTTTGCGTTTTTGAATCGTTCTTTTTATGGTAGCTTTACGGCTACTTTTGAACTGTACAAATTTTTTCCCGCTTCTACTTGGAGTTGATTTCTCTTTCGTTACTTGAGGTAGATAGTATTTAACGTTTTTGGTATGAAGGTCCTTAAAAGATACAAACTGTGATGATACCTAAAATATATTTTAGTAAGATTAGTTTCATATCTAGAAATTAATAAGAAAGAATGTGATTTATTGTTATAAGTAGGGTGAGTCCGTAATTATTACTAAATGGACGTCTTTTACAGTCCAGCCACCAGAGACTTCATCTCTAAAAACGGAGCGAAAAGCTGAATTTTGTTGGTAATGTCAATTTTGAGACCCCAAAACAGTTTGATAGTTCTACCCCCCGGCTTCTTCCTAAAACCTCCTTGTAGGAGGCGGGGAATCGGAAAATATCGATTTACCAAGAGAAAAAATATTTCAAACAAAAAATATAGTTGAGATAATTTTTAACAAAAATGTTTATTAGCAATTTTTGTGTAGAATGAACCATTCTCTCAGTAGCAATGCTTAAAATGTGTTACGGTTGAGTGTCCTCATCACTCTCCAGCAAATATTATTTGTACTTGCTACAATTTTCAAAATATGTCACAAGTAAATACTTTGCCTAACCTTAATAATAAATTTTTAGATCTAGTTTTCTGTACTCAGAGAGATGCAGTTGTGTCGATTTCAACTGATATTCTATTGAATACTTCGCAACATCATTCAGCTTATACTATAGTGTTACATGAAGCCAATTTAAATTTGTTTCTTAAATATGATGTCTTCTATCATGATTTAAAAAAATGTAATTACCAAGTTTTAAATGAATATTTAGCCTCAATTCCTTGGAACAATGTATTAGATGAATCAGATATAAATTGCTGCTTAGAAATTTTTTACCATATTTTATATGATGCCATCAATATGTTTGTTCCTATCAAACGGTTTAAATCATTAAACTTTCCAGTTTGGTTTTCGCGAGAATTAATTGAGCTTGTCATGCAGAAAAAAATAGCTCACAAGAATTTTAAAGCATCAGGCAACTCATACAGTGCGTTAAGTTTTTGATTAGGTATTGCACACTATACGGAGCGCTAAAATCGGCAACGTTGCAAATGTTCGTTCTCCGACCCGAAAATCTACACCGACAGAAAATCATTTATTTTAGTTTAGTAACTCACAACAACGTTAGGGATGTACTTCTCTGTCGTCCGATCTCATGTTTCATTACGTAAAGCCGATTTTAATAGTAGGAAATTCGATAAAAATGCACTGAACTAATCGGTGCATTGTTATCGATTTTTATTAATGTAAAAAATTTTTTTGTGGTTGAATTAAAAATAAAAGCGTATTTCTTTCAAAAGATAAAACAAAAAATATACTCTTATTGAAAATTAAAATATTATTCCTAATAAAATAAAAAATAATTCTTTATGACCTACAGAAATGGTTCAAATAGTTGACCTTCTACGGCTGAACAGTACCCCAATCCGTCATAAAAACTTCTGCGAACAGATGAAAGAGTTTCTGCTGTAACAGAATTGGATACTTATCTTATTCAATTTTTTAATTCATCCAAATTTTGGGCTCTAGCCTCAGGATGAGCGTAGACAATACTTTTTAAATGTCCCAAAAAAAGAAGTCCATGGGTGTAAGATCTGGAGATCGCGCAGGCCACTTAATATCGCCTAATCCACTGATAACTCGATTCGGGAAAGTATTGTTTAAATACTCCCTAATAATTCGAGCGTTGTGAACGAGACGTCTTGATGAAACCAAACATTCTCCAGATTTACATCAGGAAGATTGAGAATAGCGGGAAGAACATGATTCTGTAACAAATCGAGGTATACTCTACTATTCAAGTTGCCCTCAATAAAAAATGGACCTATTATGTGCTCTCCTAAAATGCCAGTCCAGACGTTAACTTTTTGAGGACGTTGAGTTCGGTAAACAACACTTCTGTGCTGGTTTTCCCGCGCCCAATACCTCGTAATGGAAGGATTGTGTCTCCCTACTAACGAAACAGAAGATTCATCAGTGAATAAAATGTTTTTAATAAAATTTGGTTCACTATTAGCCTTCGTTATTAGAGTTTCACAAAACTCCATTCTTCGAAAGTAATCGTCTGGATAAAGCTGCTGCGTTTTCGAATATTTAAAATTCTTGTAACCGTGCTTTTTCCATACTTTCGTTACAGTAACATTGCGAACATCTAACTCTCTAGCAACGCTTCTACTTGAACGTGTTGAATCTACCTCGATTGTTGCACAAATTTGTGTATCCCGGTATTCTCTTTCCTCAACTTTTTCTGGTAACACTTCTCGAGCGTGACATTTTCTGCAATTTTTGAGGCAATAACAACTCTCAAAATTTTTAACAATATTATACACTGTATAATTGACATTATAACAATTGACTGTACACAAGGAATTGGTCTTCCCTCAAAAAACACAGAAAATAAATCTACATACTGTTGCGCAGAATTGCCACTATAAAACCATTTTATTATTTGAGCTTTTTCCGCGGCCATATAAACAGACATGTTTACAAAAATAAATTAAAACTCTACGCTGTTATACCTTTAAACAACCACGGTATAATGACAATATAACAAATTTGCCGACGGGCGACGAGCAACGACGAGTCAACGAAGCAGATATGTAGTGGCAAATCGACGACGCACAGTGTTGCCATTTATAGAGTGTATACCTAATCCAAAACTTAACGCACTGTATGATGAATTGTCGGTGTTAAGGGAAAGATGTAAAGCATTACAAGCAGTATGTTATAAGAACTATTTAGAGGATATTCAAACAAATCTTTCAAGTAATCCCCACTCTTTTTGGAGGTATGTTAGTACTACACGTGGGTCTAGTGCTTATCCTAATGTAATGTCTAATAAAGGTGGGGATGTAATAGCTCAGAATGGTGATGAAATAGTCAATTTATTTGCCAGCTATTTTTCAGGTACATATAATGATAGTGAGTGTAAATTACCTAATTTTAAATTGGACTATAATGTGGATTTCCAGAGTCTGAAGTTTAGTCTGACTGATGTTTTCGAGGGGATTAGCAGTTTAAAAACTACATATTCTTCAGGGCCTGATGGTATACCTGCAGCACTTATTAAGAACTGTATTTTTTCCCTTTGTAAACCTTTACAACAAATTTTCAATTTATCGTTGTCATCATTTGTATTTCCACAATATTGGAAAAATAGTTTTCTTACACCTATCTATAAATCTGGCAATCGCGAGTGTGTTAACAATTATAGAGGTATAACTATTCAACCTTGAAAGAGGTATAAAACAATCGTTAAGTAAGTAAATTTTAAAGTAAAATAACTGTACCCCCTCTTCAAATATACTTTTTTTTATAAAAGTAATATTTTTTTCTCTAATTTTATTGGTCCACTGGACAGTTGAAGTTCGACAAGTGTTGTGTCTACAGACCCCTGATAACGGATTAGCTATTTTGTTGATACTTTTCATAGTTTATTCTATTTTTATCTTTTCCTTTTCTTCGCATATCTTTATATTGGTATTTTCTCATTTAATTATGGTCCAAAGTTAATATCGGTCCAAGAATGATCCAATGTGGGTCCCCAGTCTTCGGTATATTCCAAGGTTGGTCCAAACATAATCTCAAGTATAATCCAATATCAGTCTAATGTTGGTCTAACTATATCCTCTAGTAATTGGCTGCCCTTAAGGTCAATGTTCAGCCGATTCGTTTGCAGCTCAAATATTGTGAGTACTGGTCCCCTTATATTTAGTGTCAGCCAATTCAGATGGTGGCAGTTAAAATTATCTTTACAAATAAAACGAGACTGTATATATAGACATTGTTTTTTTAATTGCTGTGTTATATGTGGCGACAATTATGTCATGATTCCTTTTGTAACATATTTAACTTTAATTCATAATTTTGACCCAGGTCGCTCATATTAAACATATGTTTAAATAGCAATTGATTAACGAATCAGTAAATTTTTTTATTCTTTTTTGAGTATATATGATTTAAAATATGTTTTGTTTTATTTGTCCAGTTTATCCATTGCATAGAACACATTAGGCTAGTTCTAATATATTTTATATAAATTTATCGATATGTGACATATTTAAATATTCCATCTGAATATTTTAATTTTATTATTTAATATAGTTAGGATACTTGATATAATTGATATGATAATCAACTATTTAGTCAATTATAATTATATGTTAATTGTAAAAAGTAAATACATACGTCTTTTAATAAATCATGTTTTAAATCACTATATAAAGAATTTCCTGTTGTTCCTTTGGTATAAAACCAATTTCTTACTAAATGAGCCCACATGGCGGAATCCAAACCTGCTGCACCCTTCTGATCGCCAGGTATAGATCCATTATCATGGCTAAAATGTATGAAATTAAAAAAAACACAAATTAAAGTAAATTTTCTGTATAAAATTTATAAAGTGAATTTGATGACAGGTATAAAAACTCAATTTCAAAAGTTTCAATTTATTATGATCAACGATCATGATCAATAAAAATTTGTTCGGGGATCAAATAACAACTCCTTTGAGTCAAAGTCTAAATGAAAAAATATTCGCGCTATATATTTGAAATACTTCAATAAAGTGTGCCAAACGCTTTCATTTGTCAAACTCATATATTGTGGGAGAGAAACATCAACACAACACATCAACAGTTTGCAAAATACAGATTGATATAAGGTTGAATGCTCGAATAAATGAACTTTGATAAAATGAAAGACATATATCGAGCACAATTTTATTAATTAAATCTTGCCCAAGTACTTTCGCTTTCTAAAGCATCATCAGGGGCATTTCTTCAATTTTGGGCTATCCAACAAGTGCAGAATATAATAAACATAAAATTAAACATACAATTGTACATAACACTAAACAAGGACAAACAGTTTAAAATTATTTGAAAATTAGTCGAAGCTACATTCTTGTCGGCAGCAGGAGAGAGAATGAGAGAATTCTGTGTAGCTTTTCCGCGCTGCTACAGATAAGCTAAAGATTGCCATGATGATCGCCAACATTCGCAACGGATAGGCACATCAAGAAGAAAAATATAGGTTAGGATAATTAGCAAATTACCGGATTATCGGCATCCATTTTCACAGAGGATGAGGGGCCCGGACATACTTAAATCCGAGGTAGAAGAAGCAATAAAAACAGATGAAAAGCAGGAAAGCTGTAGGGCCTGATAATATCGAAGCTGAATTTTTTAAAACTCTTGGAGGAAGAAGGAATAATTTGGATCACGGCTGTCTTCAATAAAATATACAATACAGGAATCATCCCTGATAAATGGCTAGAATCAGAATTCATAGCGATACCTAAAAAACAGGGGGCTAAAAAGTGCGAAGAATATCGAACAATCAGCCTAATGAGCCATATGTTGAAACTGTTTCTTAGAGCCATCCATGGAAGAATTTATAAGAAGTGCGGGGAACAAATATCGGACAGACAGTTCGGCTTCATTAACGCAGTGGGTACCAGAGAGGCACTTTTCGGAGTACAGGTACTGATTCAAAGATGCAGGGACGTTAACTGCGACGTATACGCGTGCTTGATCGACTATGAAAAGGCATTTGACAGGGTTCAACAACAAAAGATGATAAACATTTTAAAAGAGGCAGACCTGGATGACAAAGACCTCAGAATAATTTCAGAACTCTACTGGAATCAGACCGCATACATGAAAATTAACGGAGAAGAAACAGATCACATAAAAATACTACGTGGAGTTAGACAGGGATGTGTCCTATCGCCGACGACAGCATGGTGATAGCAGATAGTTTAGAGGGACTTCAGAGGCTAATGGACAGGATAAACGAGTACAGTCAACAGTACGGACTAAACATTAATACCCACAAAACGAAACAAATGATTATCAGCAAGGAGAATATAAACGGGGCTCATCTATACATTAATGGGACGCAGATAGAGCGAGTAAAACAGTATTGTTACCTGGGAACTATTATTAACGAACAGTGGAGCAATTTACAGGAAATAAAGTGCCGCATAGGAAAGACAAGAACGGTCTTTAACAAAATGAGCGCCATCTTCAAAAGTCACAACATATCCCTTGATATAAAAATGAGACATTTGAGATGCTATGTTTTCTCTGTGTTGTTGTACGGGGCGGAGGCATGGACGCTTACAGACACCACTATTTAAAAACTTGAAGCATTTGAGATGTGGCTTTATAGAAGAATGCTGAGAATATGATGGACAGCAAGGATCACGAACAAGGAAGTTCTAGGAAAAATGAAGAAGGAACCAGAGATTTTGTTTATGATCAAACGCATAAAATTGCAATATCTGGGACACGTTATGAGAAATCAGCACCGTTACTCCCTGCTACAGTCTATATTGCAAGGTAAAGTCAAAGGTAAGTGAGGACCCGGTAGAAGGAGAATACCATAGCTGCGGAATTTAAGAACATGGTTTAAGAAAACCTCAACGGAGCTGTTTCGAGCCGCAGCGAGCAAGGTTATGATTGCCAATATGATTTCCAACATCCGAAACGGATAGGAACCAGAAGAAGAAGAAGAATTAGCAAATATCGAGAAGGAATTGGACAGAATAGAATGGGATAGAACGATGGAAATGAGAAGGATGTCTACCATTAGCTAAACGAAATTTCCACTACTAACGTAGAGAGAATGACAACTCATTTGGGGTTGGTATACTTTTAAAATCTATAATGTTACAATATGTAAAAGGTTGTATGACAATTAATCATAGAGTAATTGTTTTTTAGTGAAACGGATCCCCAGCAAATTTAAAATAATACAGGATGATGAACTAGAGAAATTTTACTAAAAAGTAATGGATGCTAAAAAATTCACAAAAAAAACCAAATCATTATCATTATGTACGACTGAAAGAGAAAAATTGGCGCAGAAAAAAGATCAACTCCAAAATGGAATAGCACTCACTCTGGCACAAATTAGATGGTGACTGACGTCCTATTCAATTCTGTCAAGACTAAAAATTAATGATTACTAACACCCGCTTTATAATATTTCAAACATACTTTACTATATTTTTAAAAATTGATCATTCGCAAAGAATGGTTAATAGGAAATGCAAATATACAATGCTAACTTACTCTAAAGCCTCCTTGGGTGATCTGGATTTAATACATTCAAAAAGTTGGGGCTTTGTATTAATATAACTAAGTGTCACAAGTTTTCCAACTTCTCTAGTTCCCAACTTCGTATTCATACCTAAAAACAGAAAATATGACAAACACTTTTTTATTTAATTATTTTGTTAATGAAACAGTGAATTTAAGCAGTTTCCATTACCTAAGAATTCATAAAACGTTTATTTATTCCACATTGCTATACGGAGTGGAAGCATGGACTCTCGGAATTACAAGTATGAGACGTATAGAAGAATTTGAGATGTGGGTTTTTCGAAGGATGCTGAAGATTTCTTGGACAGAGCACGTGACCAACAACGAGGTGCTAAGACTAATAGGTACCGAGAGAGAACTCCCAAAATATTGTAAAAAAAAGAAAAACGAGTTATCTAGGACATATTTACAGAGCAGAAAAATACAACTTCCTTTGACTTATAATGGAAGGGAAAGTGGAAGGAAGAAGAGATCCAAGAAGAAGAAAATGCTCCTGGTTGAAGAATGTAAAAGACTGGACAGGCATGGACACACATTCAATACCAAGAACAGCTCAAGATAGAGAGCAATTTGCTGTAGTTATAGTCTGTAACCGTTTCAAAAGTTTTAGAAAATTCATTATAAATTTGATTATTTTTTTTTAAATAAAGCTACTAACCCCACCTATCTGCCAGGTGCTTGTATTCGACTCAAGGTTTCTACGGTAATTACCAACATATCCGATAGATGAGAACGATATTAACTTGTCAATCACGCCCCCAATTCAAAACAGTTGAAATAGCGTCGCTTCCTTTCCTGTTACAAACGTCCACCTGATAGGACGTGTTTTTCGAAGTGAGTCTCTAGATTAGAGGTAAGCTACAAAGAAAAGCTTTTTCTTGTCTATATTTCAGATGAATAATTATTTTCAGACTCTTTTCCGGGAGGTTAAAGTCCATTGATTATGTTAAGTTAACTGAGACAGTTTCCTATGGTCCAATACTTCCCTATATATGGTTTCCAATAATTACTTATTATATAAATGGATTCTTATTAGTAAATATTTGATGAAATAACTAACGGATGAGAAGTATCCCTATTAAGCCCTATCAGGAACGCGAGAATTATTTATGGATTCACAGAGACAAGAATATAGTGAAATATTTTAAATTTTGTTTAAAGACTTACCTTTCTATTATGCCTAGTTAATAAATAGATTTAACTTTTCTATGTTGCCTAGTTAATAAATAACTACTATAATATTTTAAATGTAAACGAATTTCGAAATTTGGGAATAATATATAAATTCATTTGTTTCTATCAACCAATTCTTGATTTAAAAAGATAGAAAGTTGCTTTGTTTATAGTAATGTAATAGTATCCTTTGGAAATAACAACTTTTAATGTTTCTTTTTATTACTGAGAAATAAAGGTAATTTCGCTCTAAATTTTTTTATATATCTTATCTTAAGGGGTGGCGTCCAATGATAAATTGTAATTTCAGTTATCTAATTGTGTTTGAAATGTTGACATACTACGTAGTTTTTTTGTACAGTTGACCTTATCACACCTTCTCTCCGACATGAGTTAACCTGACCTTGAATTAAATGTATGTACTCGATGTTATCAAAAATCGGCGTTACAAGTCAACCTTCAGTAATGGAGAAGGCACCTTAAGGAGAAGAATTCATCCGTTCATTAATTCAGTATTTAGTGGTTTTAAGGAGGCAATTTGTAAATACTCTAACTCAAGAAGGACCTATAACAGTAGTTTAGTTTATAACCAAGATTCGGTGTCTAATTTATTGGCTAGGGTTAAAAATAAACCCCACTTACGGCACTTACTTTTACTTTTTCGTGTTCAGATCCAAATATTTAAAATTTCTCCGTCCAGTAACGGGCGACGCGACGTCAATGGCATTATTGCTGGTATGCCACAACTCTTCGAATGTGCATCTACCAGGGCATATTCAGTAGGTGTTCCATGTTCTAAATTTCACAGCATTCGCATAGTGAGTTCTGTGTATCGATCCTACCCCATCTGATTTTATTTGTCTTAATTGATCGCTCCCACTAACAGCCAGGCCTCGTCGGAGTTTGACAGACGGTTTTAGCAAATGCCGATTCAGGTGAGAAAATAGTTGAGGCTATTTTCTCAGGGACGGACAGGTATCGTTAAGTAGTGAGATTGGGAAACTGCAAAAAACCAATCTTCCCCTGTCCGGGGTTAGGAAAAGGAGTTGAGGTTAAGTGTGGGTTTAGTAGGCTATTGGAGTGGCCTCAAGGATGTCAGCGTATTCTTCCGGAAGTTCGTCGATGCAAACCTGCATCAGAATAGACGGCATGTGGAGACATTTGTTTTTGGGCTTCCGGGAGGATACGTGACCGCGGAAAGAGCAGGAACTTTTTAGTGTGTTTTGTGTATTAGAAGGGGACCGATGATATTTCTGAGGGTAAAGTTTCTGTTGAGTTTTTATTCTCTTGATAATGCGTGTTGGGTTTGCCGTTTGATGGATTTCACGGGATAAGAAGTACCAGCATTTTCTGCACGTAATACGCAGAATTCTGTGCTCCGCAGCGATCAGTCTTCTCTTTTGATATCCTTTTAGAAGGCAATATAAGATAGCCTTATACTTAATAACAGATCAAATGAATGTTTTATAAGTGTTGATGAGTTTTTATATGTGATTTACCAAATGTCCTTGAAAGTGGTACTAACCGTCGGGCTTTGTGACCGTATCTAAAGTTGCCTTTAGATCAGGTTCCCAATTAAGTGTTCTAGTAAATAGTACACCTAAGTAGGAGGCTATCGGTCTAGTAGCGAGCCTCTCTCCCATCAGATACAGGGGGGTTTGATCATCGCGATTGCGAATGATACCGGACGAAGCTTTAGGGCTGCGGAACACAATGGTTTGTGTTTTTGCGGCGTTTAAAGTAACTCTCTTATTACACCGTTCTTCGATACCGTTTAAAAGAGTTTGTGCTCTTCTAAACGTTCTCTCAGGATAATAACCGTTCGTTGTTGTGAGGAGGGCAGTGTCATCTACATAGAGGTACAGTTGGGTGTGTGATATGTTTTGATTTGATATAGTACTGTTGTACGTGATGTACAACAGGGGTGCTAGCATTGAGCCTTGTGGTACTCCCGCTCGTGGAGTGAATGGGGTAGATAGTTGATCGCTTACTCTCACTCTAACTGTTCGATTCGCAAGGTAAGAATGAATGATCTTTATAAATTGTAGGGGTAGCCTGATGTCAATTAGCCTCCGAATAAGTTCGTCATGCCAGACTTGATCGAAGGCCTTTTGTACATCGAGAAAAGTGGGGATGGCGTTGCCATTTAATGACTGTGTTCCTTTGGGGTGAAATCTATTAATGCATTTTGAGTTGATCTTTTAGGTTGGAATCCATACTGAAATTTGGGGATGATGTTGTTTGTTTCGAGATAGTCACTGAGCCTCTCTTTGAGGATTAGCTCAAGAACTTTTCATAGTAAGTTGATTAAGGAGATAGGTCTGTATGATTCCACATTTGTACGAGGCTTACCCGGTTTGATTATCATGATAGTGTTTTTGCAGTTTTAAAGAAAATAGCAGTTTTTGAGACATGCATTAATAGTTTTTGTAAGATGCGCGATTATACTCTCTTAAATATTGCTTTAGACACCTTCTACTGATATTTTCAGGTCCGGGAGAATTATTTTTGCCGATATGGCAATAACTCTCCGTTTCTGTCAGTAATAGGGTCCATAATTGGAACGTGATTTGGAGTTTGATGCATGAGAGTATTTCTTACTACGAATTCAGTGTTGAGTTTGAATAAGCGATCGAAGTTTGGGTTGTCTGGGGTTTGAAACTTTTCGTGAAGTGAGTTTTCAAATGCTTCTGCTTTCAGTTCAGGAGAACTGATTATTTGGTTATCGACCAACAGATGAGAAGGTTGAGAAGTTTTTTGTTTTGTTAGGACTTTGAATTGAGATCTATTGAGTCTGAGAGCGCTTCTTTAAATACCGCTTCATTGCATACACTAAAGAGTACAACCCTGGCGGACTCCTCTCTGTATTTTAGTATCTAGGGTGTACTGGTTGTCAACTCTTACCTTAAAAGTTTGATTCCAATATAGATTAGATATAATTTTCATATCACGAATGTCAATACTTTTGCTTTTTAATATATCTACAAGTTATTTTATGTTGAATCTTATCAAATACCTTTTCAAAATCTACAAAACATAAGTACATGTCCTGATTCATATCCATGCATCTCTAGGCCAGCAAATTCAAGCCGAACAAAGCATTTCTTATGCCCATATAATTTCTAAATCCAAATTGTGTGTCACTAATTTCGTATGCAAGAGTTTTAACAATTTTGCTGTGGATTATTTTCAAAAATGTTTTAAAAGTGTGACTCATTAAAGCTATTGTTCTGTGATTTGAGCAGGGTATTGCACTTGACTTTTTGGGTATTGCCACAAAGGTCGATTGCAGCCATTGTCTGGGGAATGTGGCAGTCTGATATACTAGATTAAAGACTTCAACTATTACATCAATAACATCTTCATCAAAGAGTTTTAATAATTCGATGGACACATCATCTGGTCCGGTAGCTTTGCCCTTTTTTGAATTTTGTATTTTTGATGGCATCGACGACTTCTTTCCGTAATATTGGTGGTCCGGTATCCTCCATGGTTTCGAATGATAGTTCTTCTCTAAATAGCTTTTGGATGTAATTGGTTTAGTGGCACAGTCTTTCCTTCATATCAGTAATAATATATCCTTTATCATTTTAAAGAATATTCGTTATTGTGCCTTTGCTAGAACCTGTCATTTCTTGTATTTTTTTGTGTAAATTAAAGCTGTCATACTTTTATACATATATATTTCCTTGCATCTGCCGGAGAGCTACCTCTCTTAGTTTTTAGTATGCATTGAGTTTAAGAAGCAATTGTACAAGTAACAAAAGCTGTAAATAAATGGTTAATATAAAACGAACGGTATATTTTAAAGAAACGTACATAAATATTGATAAAGATAATAATATACTTACTTATTCTACTTAATTGTTGCCAATAATCTTCAATATCCGAGGATAACCCAAAATAAAAAGGAATGGTAGGATAACTCTTATCCTCGATTTCATTATATCCGGGTTCACTGTTAGTTGTGTCCCATAAGGACGCTCTGCGGTTCATATAAATAAACATTTGATCTTTTTCTTTTGACTTCTGAGGTCCAAATTGAACCAGTCCACAGAATACTAAACGATTGATAGTGTCATAAATGTTTTGCAGATATTTTCGTTTAAAAAGAATGGTCTTCCGGACTTTTTCTGACAAATCTTTTACCAAATAGAATCTGAAATAATAATTTATTAGTAATAAAATTCTAAAAAAAGTACAAATAATTTTTTTATGGCTAAATTAAGGAAAACACATTTTTTTTTATTTTGTAAGTTTCTTTTTAAAGTATGTTTAAGCCGTCATGTATTCTTTTACCAAGATTGTATTAGACAAATGTGTACTTTTATAAACATTAAAGTGGTATTTTATTGCATGCAATATTGATTAAAACTCAAAGCTTTTGCACTATTATTATTAATTAAACAGGAAATATGAACAATGATGTTAAGCTGAGGAAATATAGAATTCCAGGAAGCCAATTTAGCCAACTAATAAAATATCTGTACATAAATATGTTTCCTGAGTATACTAATACATTACTGTTGCAATATGTTGTGTTTTTTTTTAATTTCCAAAGAAATAGAGCACTCAAAATGGATGTGAGAATAACTATATCAATTAAATACTAAGAAAGATGTATGCAATTTAGCGCTACCTGGCGGTAAGCTACAGTAAAATAGATGACGTCACATTATGTGACTTAAATTTTTTTCAATATCAGCTAGAAAATCTCTTTCAATCTCAGTCTTTCGAAATATAATTTATTTTCACTCGAAAAATGGTTAAGTTCCTAGGTGAGCATGAATGTTAAAACATCAATAAGACAAAATTGATCTATAACTAATTTTCCGATATGTTGACGTTGAAAGAGTATGTAAGTCTTTTTTTAGGAAATAAACAAGCTTCTTTTACTTTATAAAATCTTACCTTTTTATCGGATGATTAAGCGTCTCTAACAGATCAGTATCTTCGTAACTACAATTGTGAATCTTTAAGAGAACACAAACCGGAAATCTCAATATTATGTCGCACATTAAAGCCCAACCAGCGGGCCATTCCAAATGGTTAGGAAGAGGCGGTATAAACATTTTCCAACTAATTTCGTGGCGATATATCTTCGGTAATTCCTCCAAATCTTTTTCGGATATCGCTATTCTGTAACTTTTGAAAAGTGTCTCGATCTGATCATTTTCCATAGGTCTCTCGTACGTTAACGGTGGGTGACAATCGTATATTACATAGAACAGGAATTCGTGCATAATTCTCATTCTAAAAATAATCATTAGTTGATATACCTAATAAATAGCGAATAAATATTGAAGACAATATCGATTTTTAACTCATTTTTTTTTGAGACATAGCTTTCTTATCGCGGATTACGAATAGAGCGGTGGATCGCGCAAAAATATGATAAAATCAAAGACGACTGAAATGACTGTATCTACAATGTGGGTAAGATGATGTCACTCCTTCAGGATATGAAAGAAGAGCTACTCAGAGCTAAATCATTTGCAGAGCATGCAATGATTTTCATGAAATACGAACAACTCTACATTGCCAATTAGACATCTGAAGATACTTCAACTCAACATAGCCCCGATGAGACTAAGAATACACGAACTTAAGAGAAGGCAACATCCGCATATCATCTGCATACCGGAAACACTCTACATGACGAATGATCAACTACCAAGGATCACAAACTACGACCGATAAGGCAGGAGAGATAATCCAAATCAAAAAGAAGTAGCCATATACGTCAAAAATAACATCAAATGGAACCAGGCGGTATTAAACATAGAACAGTTTGAAAATGTAGGTACCAAAATAGGGATAACTAACATTTTGTCTATTTAGAGGAGAAAACAACGATGCAGTCATAGCAGGAGACTTCAACGTACGTCATACATCATGGGGATGTCACTACATCACAAGATATGGAATGATTTTACTGAGATACTGTGAAGATAAAAACAAAAAGATATTCGCAGCAGACGAACCAACAAGGATCAACCCTAATCCAAGACAAGTCAACTCTACGTTGGCCTTATTCATCAGGAAAGATGTTATCATAGAAGATGTAAGAACTTACTTCGAATACAGCTCCGACCACAAACCAGTGATAGGAAGAAGTCAAGAGTCGACCTCAGAACAGTGGAACCAGTAGAAAGATGGAAATGGAAGGAAGCAAACTGGCCAAACTACAGAAAACAGCTAAACCAAATAGAAATGAAGAGAGAATTCCAATCAATTGAAGAAGTGGAAAGAAAAATATAAGAAATAACAAAAAAAATTCAGCAAGCTATGGAAGACAACATCCCTAAAGGACTGACGAACAATTATACCGAGCTGAAGGAAATCATCAAAGACAGAAACAGGGCCAAAAGAGCTTTCCAAAGGGCAATGCAAGAAGAACGGAGACGATCTAGAAAGACGAATACTTAAGAGTCTCACAGAAAACAAGTGGCGGCATAACAACATCAGAAAAGCAGAAGTAAACCATGGAATCGTGTGGAAAACGCTGAAAGCCAAGCGAAGAGGAAAACAAAAATGCCCCATATAATAGACGACAAGGAAACTTACTTCGAAACCCAAGAAAATGTGGATGCAATTGCAAAAAGAATGACAGCAACACACAGGTAAAACCAAAACATGTCGGATACAAGAACCATTGAGGAGGTCAACACAGAATACGAGAGGATAATAAGAAGAAACGAATTTTTAGTAGATAAAAAAGACTACATCAATCCAACAGAAGTTGCTAAAATCATCAAAAGATTAAAAGGAAGCAGAGCTGCAGGAGCAGAAGAAATCCACAACATAGGTCTCAAGGAACTACTAAAAAAGATAGTAGTGCAACTCTACGATATCTTAAAATACTGCCTGGAAAAAGCGCATTTTCCGAACAACTGGAAACATGCCAAGATCATTCTTCTACTAAAACTAAGGAAGGACGGAAGAAGACCAGAAAGTTAAAGACCAATATCACTACTGGAAACAATAAGAAAAATACTGAAGCAGATCATCTACAGAAGGCCGACACAACATGCAAAAAAAGAAGAATCATTTATAGGGACCAGTTTGGATTAAGAAGAGGGAGAAACTGCGAACTCCAATTAGCAAGAGTTATCAGCGACACGAAGATCAGATTCGGCAGGAAACAGAAGACAGAAATGACCATCCTAGACATCGAGGAAGCATATGACACGGTCTGGAAGAAAGCCCTAATCTACAAGATGGACAGAGGTAGATTACCTCATTATTTAGTTAACTTATCTGACACATATCTAACTAACAGAACTTTTCAAGTTTCAGCCGAAAAAAAGATGTCCAGAATTCAAGAAATCTAAGAAGGAACGCCTCTTATATAACATTTTTGTTTCAGACTTACCAACAGATCTAAAAACAAGTACATACAGCCTTTTACGCAGATGACACGGCTATCTATGCAACAGGAAAAGATGACAGAAGAATAGTCCAAAACATAGAAAACCACCTTACTCACTCAACCACCCTACGTGGAGTAGTAAACACAGCCCCATGCGTGTTTCTTAAATTACTTTCTTAGTTTCTTATAAAATAAATTAAATTAATATATGTATTTTGTTATGATTCCAAATTGTTCAAAAACAAAAAAAACAGAAGGAGAAATAACAAAAATTGGTATTTCTACAAGTATATAACATTGGCGAAATGAACTATAGGGTTTAATTTTGTGTGTAAAAAGTAATGTGGACTTTAGGAAAATTTAAAAAAGTTCATTTATGCAGATTCTATTGTGTTGGAAGTGTATTGAAAATAAGAAAAATATAAATTTGATACATTTCGTAGGACCTGTTTGTTTTTTTGAAATACTAAAATATTTTTTGTTGAAAATATAGAGGGGAAGAATAATTTGTAGGTTTGACGGATGTTTTGAAGCAGAAAGAAGGAACCAGTTTGCTGACCGTGAGAGGAGGCATATCTAATCCTGATAATGGAATTGCATGCCGGTAATTTTGAATAGTGAAAAAGTATTTGTGCGAAGTAAAAGTAATTTGCTGTTGTAGTAATGTGAGCTACCAATTGTAGCTTATACCAATTTTTACAATTGCGAGAATCACGAAGAAAAGAGAGAAAGGAGCGGAGAAATTACGACAGGAATCGAACAACATAGACGAATAGATTCCAATACAACAACCAATTCAATAGATCACAAGGACAATTTAATAGTACTTTTGGACAGAATAGATTCAGTGACAATCACGAAAACCATAGATAAAATATAAATGACAACACATTCAATCACAACCGGAGAGGAAACACGGAAAATTATCACAACAATAATAGAAGCGGACAATACCATCATAATAGAGATGACCTCGATGGTTATGGAAACAATAGATCACAAAGAAGATAGGTATCTGTATCTGTAGAGTAGGGAGGGCGAGGCAAGTTCCACAGCACTTGGGCCACAATTGACCCATTCTGCATCCTCCTAGGGAGCTGTCGTTCTTAGCTCATTGTCCATCCTGCCATTTCTAGGAGGGTGGACAAGTCACCAGGGGAACTCTCTCTTATGTGGGCAGGTGTGGACCAGGACTCGCCGAACGAGTACTCTCGTATTAACGATAACTCCGATTATTCACCCAGGACACGCTCTTTAGTGGTCAGAACATTACCATCGATGACTTTGAGCGCGTTAGAGAATTCAAGTATCTTGGAACAACAATAACTGAAGACAATAACGGATCACAAGAAATAAACAACAGGATTCAGGCCGGCAACAGATGTATTTTTGCCCTCCAAAACCTTATAAAATCAAAACAACTAATACGACGTACGAAGATACAGGTCTATAAAACATTCATACGACCCGTTGTGATGTATGGAAGCCAAACGTGGACGATAACAAAGGCAAATGAAGAGATACTACGTGTTTGGGAAAGAAAAATCCTAAGGAAGATCTTTGGTCCGGTGCTTGATGAAGCATCAGGACAATATAGGATAAGAACTAATAAAGAGCTTGAAGAACTTTACCCAGACGCCAACATCATAAAAGAAATAAAGTCCAGAAGACTCCAATGGGCAGGACACCTCAGAAGACATTCTGACGAACGAACAGTAAGACTGGTGTGGGAGGAAGTCCCAACTGGAAGGAGACCACGCGGACGCCCTCGTCTTCGGTGGCGAGATAATATAGCAGGAGACCTAAGCACTATGGGCGTGGAGAATTGGATGGAGGTTGCTCAAGATAGAAAACAGTGGAGGCATGTTGTCGAGTCGGCTAAAACCCACGAAGGGTTGTAACGCCACGGAGTAAGTAAGTAAGTACACGCTCTTTAGTTTCGTCTTTTCGTTCACACTTCCTGCATAGAGGTGTGTCTACTAGCTCCAGTGTGTGGAGGTGTTTGCTTAGTTGACAATGACCAGTGAATGTCAAGCGTAGGTTTTTCCTGGACATTCCCAAGTACTTCTTTGATGCTGACTTTTCAGGGTTACTTAGTGTTACCCTGGCAAGTCAACACTTTGCCCTTCTTCCCATCTTTTCACGGTTTGGTTATGGGAGTGACTTTTATAGGAGTAACCATGGCAGAATGCCATGGAGGGAAAGAGGAGATCCGAAATGATATACCTACCGGTAGATAACAGATCTCACGGTTTCGTCTTTTCACGAAGATGCCCACTAAATAAGAATCAGAGCGAACCCGGAATTTTTTATTTCTAATAATACATATTTATACTGTACCTCGTAAATTTTGGTTTAGCTCCATACACTCTTCCTATCTGAATGTTAAATTTCCTGTTAATTTCTTTTATCATAGTCTTATTTAGTATTTTCATCTCATTGATACTATTCATGACGTCCGATTTCGAAAAAGGAGAAGATGATAATTTTTCCTCGATCTTTTTTTGAAGAGTTGGAACATGTGGTCTCACGTTTTTCTTGGCGACGCTCAAAAAGTATTTCCACTTAATTTGTTGACAAGCTGTTTGGATATCATCGCAATCGTAATTGATGGTCGGATGACAGACGAAAATAACGGTTTTGGTAATTGTATTATTGTTTAGTGTTACCTTATAGATTTTGATATATCCTTCCGACACTAGCCGTTTTAGTATTCTTAGAAGTGATTTTCTGTCAATTTTTCCTTTTATCTCTGCAAGCAATAAAACAAACACTTAAAATTAATTTTCATTAAAAAAATTAAATTTTAGTTTGTAGTGTCATGTTCAATGTTCTTGTTTAATATTTGGAAGAATAGAACACTACGATATTGTTATTGAAGATTTTGCACACTTATATAGAAACACAGTAACTTTATTATCAAGTTGTTATATGTTACTTACATTTAATATTGTAAAAATTATTAATACACTCACCGGCAAAATTAACGGAACACCTTAAAATTGAGACATGTTAGATGTCTCGAATTTCCTAAACCTGTTGTCCGATTTTAGTGATTTTTTTAGTATGTTATAGGTAGGTATATTATTTAAGAATATCGATGTAATAATATTGTTGCTAAACAGGTCAATGTCATTTTATACCGGGTGTAACAATCCTACTGTGTTTTTTCCTTAAAGTTCGGAACACCCTGTGGAATATTCTAGCATATATAAAATATTGAAATTAAAACTTAATTATAGCCTCAGGCTTTCTTAACATTTTCTTTTTTGATTCATTTGCTTATGTTTGATAATAAAAAAGTTAGGTACGTTAACAATTAGCCATGTTTTTCATCAATAAATCCTCATTTTCTGCTTAGTTTCAAAACAAGCCTAAAGTAGGCTATGAGAAGTTAACAATTTAATACAGACACCGGAAATTTAAAGGAACCTGTTATTAATGCAATATTTCTTTATATTTGTATTTTATAGACTATATCTACATAGCTTTGAAAGCTCCTTGTCACAAGAAAGTCTTAAATGTCAAAATGTCAAATTAATTTGTTTATTTGTATTGTGTTTTACATTTTACAGTCATTCTGTCTGTTCATAACAAGTACAAACTTGTATTTAATTGAGCGCACAATAAGAAAGAGACTTAAAGAAGCCGGTCTCAAGTCATATATGCCAATAAAAGCTCCCAGACTCCAGAGACACCATCGTTTAGCACGACTACAATTTGGTCGAGTACATCAAAATTGGAATGATAACCACTGGAGTCAAATTCTCTTTACGGACGAGAGCCGTTTCTGTGTAAATTACATCGACGGTAGAGAAAAATTGTATTAAGGCCAAGGAGAACGAAATGCCCCTTTCAATTTTACTACGACCGTACCTTTTGGTGGAGGTTCAATTATGGTGTGGGGCGGTATATGTTTGGAAGGGAGCAATAACAGAGTTAGTGGTGATTGATGGTGGAGCATTAACAGCAGATAAGTATATCAGAGATATTCTCCAAGACCATGTGGTACCTTTTTCACCATATATTGGCGAAAATTTTATTTTATAGTGTAAGAGTGTAAGTGTAAGATATTTTTTATTACAAGTGGGTATAACAACGATGAATTGGCCAGCTTGTTCCCCAGACCTAAACCCGATAGAGGATATGTGGGACATGCTAGGCAGAAAACTTAGGGCACGGGTTCCTGCTATTCAAAACAGAGAAGAAGTCACAATTGCAAAAGATTGAGGAATGGGAAAGGCTGCCCAACAACTGATCGATAGCGTTATCAGAAGTATGAGAAGACGAATAACTGCAGTTGTAAGGGCTCGTAGGGGAAACACACGCTATTAAAGCCAAAAAAAATGCATAAAAAAACAATTTAAGTTCAAACTGTACAATAAAGTTAATGCATTTAAAATCCGTATTTTCTTGAGTCTGACATCTTTGTGTTTTATTTCTTCTTAAACAGGTTTTATATTGTACTACCATTGTAATATAAATTCAAAATACTTCACCAACATTCGTATTATGATATTATCTAAACAGTATATAGACTAGAGAGAAAATACTCAGATTTTATGGTTGTTCCTTTAAATATGTTGGTGAAACTAAGAAGAAAATGAGCATTTATTGATGAAAAACATGGCTAGTTGTTAACGTACTTAACTTTTTTATTATCCAACACAAGCAAATGAATCAAAAAAGAAAATGTTAAGAAAGCCTAAGACTATAATTGAGCTTTAATTTCAATATTTTATATATGCTAGAATATTCCACAGGGTGTTTCGAACTTTAAGGAAAAAACACAGTATGATTGTTACACCCGGTATAAAATGACGTTGACCTGTCTAGCAACAATATTATTTCATTGATATTCTTAAATAATATACCTATAACATACTAAAAAACTCACTAAAATCGGACAACAGGTTTAGGAAATTCGAGTCATCTAACATGTCCCATTTTTAAGATGTTCCGTTAATTTTGCCGGTGAGTGTATTTATTAAATAATACAAAAAAAGGATTTTTGCAACCATCTTGGCAAGTTATCAATGGATTTAATCTTAAAAATTCATAACAGGGCGTTACATAGGTCTACTATTTTCAAAAAATCACAATTTTATTCCATATGAAAGTATGGTACTTCAAGCGTATTTTGTTCAAGTGATTTGCATATATATTCTTCTTATAGTGCCGTGCACCTATAGGTCTTCTTCTTAGGGTGCCTGTCCGTTCCGAACGGTTGCGATCATTCTGGCTATGATGATTTTGTTGATTGCAATACGAAATAGCTGTGTTGAGGTTTTTCTATACCATGCTCTCAGGTTAGCAAGCCAGGATATTTATCTTTGTCCTGGCGTCCTTTTCCTTCAATTTTACCTTTCAAAATACATTGGAGTATCTCATATCTGCCTTGATTTCTCATTATATGTCCCAAATACTGTAGCTTACGGCCCTTCACGATGTCCACCAAATCCGCGGTTGTGTTCATCGTTCATGGTACTTCTTCATTGGTGACTTTGTCTGTCCATGGTATCTTCAGGATCCTTCTGTATATCCATAGCTCAAAAGTCTGAAGTTTTGATAAAGTTATCGCCTTCAATGTCCACGTTTCTACTCTGTGCAGAAGTACTGAGTGCACATAACATTTAAGGAGCTTTATTTTTGTTTCTATTTCTATTTTTGTTTGAGCTCATAGTCAAGAATGGACTTTTTGCCTTTCCGATGCCACATTTAATCTTTTGGGTATTATCCCACGACTCATTGATGATAGTTCTCAAGTAGTTGTGCTGTGACACGTTCAATTCTCATTTGGTTTACATAATACAGATTTGCTCCAGTTAGGTTTTCCTTGCTTATGATGATTAGCTTGGTATTGCTGGTGTTTATATTCAGTCCATGTGTTCTACTTGTTTCCTTTATTTTGTTCATTAAGTTTTGCAGCCCTTCCATGGTAATGGAAAACACTATTTTATCACGTGCATACCGCAGGTTATTGAGATTGACTCCATTTATTGAGATGCCTTTATCAATATCTTTTAGAGCATCTTCAAAAATATGCTCCGAGTACAGATTGAATATCAGTGGTGAAATTATGCACCCCTGTCTCATTCCCCTTAAGATTTTGACTTGATCTGTATATTCTCCATCTATTCGGAGAACCGCTGATTGATTCCAATACAGGTTAGCTATTATTTTTTGGTCTCTTCCGTCAATCCCTGACCCCTTCAGCACTTCCATCATTTGTTCATACCGACTCTATCGAAAGCCTTCTTGTCTAGTCAATCAGGCATGTAAGAACATCACAGCTGATATCTCTACATTTCTAAAACAATACCTGCACGCTAAATAAAGCTTCTCTCGTACCAACGACGTTTACAAATCCAAACTTATTGAGCGTAATTTATTCTTCGCATTTCCGGTAAATTATTTTCAAAACAGCTTTAGCAGATGGCTCATGGGCTTATGATCCTATAGTTTTTAGAAACTTTTACTCCTGGTTTTTGGGCAATAATACGACCTCCGATTTATGCCACTTTACTGGTATTTTTCCTGCCTTGTATATTTCAGTTGCATCTAATAGCTTCAGCAATTCTACAGGAGTTTGATGAAGTCCCAGTGTCTTTCCATCCTTTATCTGTCTGACAGCTGCCGTTATTTCTTCTGGTAGGATTTCGGACCTGAATTTTCTTCAATGGTGGTTCTTGTATTGTTCTAAGGCTGCGGAAAAGTTTCTGGGCGTGGACCAAGCAAATGGTCCAACTGTAGATGATGTTTTTCTGGCCCCAACTTTGGCGTTGAAGTCACCCATGACAATTGTTAGGTCTTGTTTTTTAAACCTTTTCGCGACTTGATTAATACTATCGTATAGTTCTTCTACCTCTTCTTCTGTTGCTTCTGTTATAGGTGCATACACTTGAATTATATCGATGTCGATTGGTCTTGCTTTCAGTTGTATGAGCAACGCTCTTGCTGAGATAGGGATGAAGTTGTCAACAGATTTTGCCACTTCTTTTATCAATATAATGCCGACACCTAATTCCTGTTGGCCGTTATCTTTTCCAGAATAGTAAACGCGCTGTGTTCCGATATTTGCTGTTCCTGAATCTGGCCAATGCATTTCGCTTATTCCCAGAATATTTACTTTCATATTTGCCATTTCTTGTATTGCATTATGGATTTTACCTTCCTGTGCCATGGATTTCACGTTCCATGTGCCTATTTTGATGTCTTCTTTGAATTTTAATCCATTTTAATTTTTGTTATACTTGTAAGTGCACCTCACGGAGATCGGATTGAGGTGCTTACTCCGGAATTGTATTTCGCTGCAAGCATAGCCATTTGATTCTACTAGGACTTATCCAATCCGGATTTTTAATGAAGTGTCTTGTCCCAATCTTTCTTTCTCATCCCTATGCCGTTGACCGCTTCCGGTCACCAAGATAATTCGCCAACGCACTATCCGTCATATCTTAAGGCCAGACGTCTATCTTTTTCGGCGTGCAAAAGCTCGCCAGTGTCATTTATGCCTATCCAATTCTTTATATTTTGTAGCTACGGCATTCTTTTGCGATCTACATCTTCTCCTGCCCTTAATATTTCCTTGGATAATTAGTTGAGGGATTGTGTATTTTTTCCACTCTATTGTTTAAATTTTTTACCATCATCTGACTCAAAAACGCCAATAATTGTGACATAATCTATATCAAATTTTAATCTTATTGTTATTGCTGTATTATTAATCCATTGGTGGATATTTGAGTAGTC